GCTGCTCTGAGCTTCCTGTCAATCATCCACACACTTCATGGCCTGTTCTTTGAAATTAGTTGAGATTTTTTAAAAAATAAAAACACCACTGATAACTGAAGAGTCAAGTTGGCATTGAGTCACCTGAAGGAAAACCCAGTCAGGATTTGATTGGACTCAGCCCAGGGACAGGGCTGCCTCAGCCAGCCTTCCTTTTCCACTCTTACCAATGTGGCCACCAGGGCCTTGCTGCCGGGAAATTAGGCAGGGAGGTGTGGGTTTAGTTCTGTGCCTTTAACACCCCTGGCCTGGGGGGAGGCACTTGAGGAATGCAGGGACAAGGAGCCTGGCTTGTCTTTGGGTCACGGAAGCACCATATTTGCACCTGTCCTTGGAAGCCTGGGGAGTAGGGCTGTGTGGTGCCGCCCTGCACCTGCTGAAGTCCTTAGATTTTACTGTGATCTTTTAACTTATGTCATTGGGCAGCCTGATGGCTAGAAAATGAACAGGAGTGGAGTTTCTGCAGGCCAGGCTGGGACTCCTGCTGAACGCTGCTCAAGAGGGGTATGAATCCCAGGTCACCTTCCACCTTTCGTTCCTCACAACTCCAGATCAGCTGTGGCGTGGTGAAGCACCCTCTGGGTGACCCTGGGATCAAGCTCCACCACGGGTTAGGATTCTGGGATGCGAGTTTTCTCTTGCCTTGACTTTCCTGAACATCTTACCTTCACCCAGTTTGCTTTTCCTTGCTGGACTCTCCCCACCTCCCAACGCCCTCCTTAGAGTCAGGGCCACCTACCCCAATAGATGGATGTCATGACTGGGCACGTCACAGCTGCCACTGCCCTCACCTGCCCCCTCAACACTTTCCTCCTGGCTGTCCATCTGCCCCTTCCAATCAGCAGCCCTCCACAGGTAAGGACAGGAACTTCTTCCCCAAGAAATTGCAGACCTCTGGGTGGAGCTCTGAACAGGGCTCTGACTCCTTGGCACCAACCCTGTCTGGGTCACATGACTACTGGGAGCAGCCAGTAGTTCTGGCCAGAACTCAGACTGGGTCATCAGTGAGCCACCCACCAAGTCAATTGCTGCCCTTGCCAGACAAGGGCCAGGTCCACCCCAGTGCAGACCACAGGGCAGTGGTGCCTACCTGAGGCTCCCTCCTAGAGCAGGGACAGTGCTGCCTAGTCAGTGCACAGCACCCTGAGCCAGGGCGGGAACCCAGAAGCATTGGCTTTACAGAACTCCAGCTCTCCCTTGGGAACCAAGACTTCTGCCGGGGCATAACGTGAGCCTGCCACAAGAGCACCGAGGTGGTCCTCGAAGAGGGGCTTGGGTTACGAGTCACCCCCATGGCAGGAACACAGCTCTTGGGAGCTCAGGTGGTGCCTAGGTGTGCATGCTCCTACCTTGCCACCTGCCAGGAGGTGCAGCAAGAGGGCCCTCATAAGACACCATTGACACTGGACTTCCAGCCCCCAGAATGAGAAAGGGTTTTTATAAACCGCTCAGTCTCTGGTATTCTTTTATGGCAGCCACACAGAGCACACCTGAAACAGTACAAGCCTAGACAGGTCATGTGTGCAGCAGCAGACACCATTCCATCTGAGAAAGGAACACTTGAGAAGTTAGTGTTTCTGAGATGTGTGTTGCCCTGTCCCAACACCCCAGCAGCAGCGGAGAGTCATGCCAGCACAATGTCCCTCTCTCTGGACAAGACCCAGCCTCTCCAGAGCCTTGGCACAGTGGCCACTACACCCTCTAGGAAGCCACATCTTGAAGTGGGAGTTTCAGCACTTACAGCTTTGAAATAGGGTTTAGATGCAAGGCAGAGGCACAGACTTGAGTTCACAGGAGGCAGTGCCAAAGGGCCCCATCCTAGCTCTGCTCTGCCGCAGGGCCCTGAGGGGGGTGCAAGCTGTGACAAGGATGGCGTGCCCTCTCTGCCCAGCAAGTGAACAGGATGGTCCCCCACAGTGCCCAGCAGGTGGTGCTCAGGCCTGTAGCTTCCCTGTGGCCTCAGGACCTTTTAGAAAGGTCCCCATGAGATGGGATGGGGAACTCATGAAGGGTTGGAAAAGGCTTGTGCTCAAGAGCACCTTGGGCTCAGGTACTCGGCAGCTGCAGTCAGAACAGCCTCCTTCCTAAGTCCAATCATCTGCAGAGTGGGTCCCCTTGTGCCACTGGACTATTATCTCTGGTGTGTCCTGGGCACTGGCTATCAGGTTCAGGGGCTTCCTCACTACTCAGGTTAAATGCATCTGGGGAGAAGGTTCTTAAGTGGGGACCTGGTGGCAGTGTTCCATGGCCCAGACCTGCCAGCTTCTTGGGGGAGGCCAGGCCCACAGGCCACTCACTCTGTACAATAAAGCTGAAGCTGCAGGATTTAATAGTTTTTGTTGCTGGCTTGACTACATCTTAACCTAACCCAGATCTTTACATATAATAAGTCCCTGCCCACCCAAGGTTCAACCTGTTGAGAAGAAACACGCTCCAACACCCAAGAACTTCGTTGCTCCCACCCCTTCTAGCCCCAAGAGTGTTCGCTGTGTGCCATCCAGTGGTGGTGGACGGAGGTCAGAGTGTAGGGTCCTTCCTAGGAACTTCCCTTCAAGGTTCTCTTGGCCTGAAAGATAAAAGCGTTTTGTCTGAGTGGCTTTTTTACAAACTAGATATGGCTCAAAATTAACAAACCCACCACAATAAATGCCATATTTTACCAAATACCTTATGGGTGCTGGGGGAGCTGGCTGGAGCTCACCCCAGGGCTGGGTGTCCAGTTCAGCTGTTCACAGTGACCCTGATGGCCAGCACAGACCTCACTTGCCTACCCCTGAGCACCACCTGCACCAGACCCCACCAGGCCCACACACATCTGGTCCCATACACACACACACACACACACACACACACACACACACACACACGGGCAATAGCAGTGGGAGACTATTCTCACTAGGTTCAGACAGGGTGAAGTCACTTGTCCAGGTCACAGGGCTCCAAGGATGCAGCAGGAATTTGAGCCCAATGACCTTTCCACCTCCTCATGTAGAACCCTGTAAAAGTGCCTTGGATCACGGGGAGGAGAGGCCCGAACCAGCTTATCGGCAGGTTTCGTCACTGTGAGAAACAACTGGGGGCCCCAGCCCAAGTGAGTGAGGGCACATGCAAGGACTGCTGTGGGGAGGCCTTTACCTGACCTTGGCAAAAGAGTGTTGGGGGGGGGGGTCACAGATGACCAGACAACCTAAGGGTTAGCTCTTGACCAGCCACAGAGACCTACAAACAGCAGGAGCACGCCACTCTTCATCTAACACAGAGCTGCCACAAGCTGCCTTTCCCCTCTGAAGGGCAGTGAGGCCGGGAAGCTGCCGAAAGGAACAAAGGGCAACTGCTGGTGAGTGACTGGCCTCTGGATGGGCAGCTAGTCAAGGGGCCACATGGTGGGGCTAAGCCATAAGAACTAAAAGAAGAGAGAGTTCCCTAAGCCTTCCAAAAAGGAGAACACGAACCAGATTCCTCGTCCACTGCCATTCTGCCTAGGGCAGTCCTGAAACATCAAGAAGTTGCTTGAGATTCACTGAATCCTGTGAGTCTTAGCCAGCTATGGTTTTTTTTGGCCCAATTCCCTGCATTAATAGCTTCCAGTAAACAAGGAATCACTGGCATCATGACTCACCTCAGACCCCAGACTGAATTAGGGGTACCTAAGGTATATGCAACCCCAGACTAATGATGGCACAAGACCCTTGTGGTTAAAGCCCTATTGGGCCCGGTGTAGTAGTACCTGTAATCCCAGTTGCTAAGGAGGCTGAGGCAGGAGGATTGTGAGTCTAAAGCCAGCCTCAGCAACTTAGCAAGGTCCTGTCTCTAAAATAAAAAATGCAAAAAAGGGATGGGGGCGTGGCGCAGGGATTAAGTGCCCTGGGTTCAATCCCCAGTACAAAAAAATAAAAATAAATAAACAACAAAAGCCCCATTGGCAGGTGACAGCTTCCCAGTCCTGTTCTGGAACATTCACCATGGCCCAGTCCTCCAGCCTCCACGAACCCCACTTTCACCAGGGCCTGGGTCTTTCCCCTTAAAGTATGTGGCTATTTGTACAGGACTTTTATTGCATAAAGACCCATGGCACGGACCAGAAGATGCTGAAGCCCAGAAACAGGAAGGACGCAGGTGCAGGGGTCAGAGACAGACGAAATCTCGGACCAAGAACCGACCAGGACTCCTTGTGGAATGGTCAGCGATGAAGGGGGCGCGGGGCAGCGGCCACTAGCGCGTGCTGCAAACAGGCAGGACGGCCCTGGGTGACATGCCAACGTGAGTTGGCGCGAGCGCCTTCCACCGGTCACCGCCGGTCCTCCCCGCGGCCTGAGGGAGAGAGCCCGACCCTGGGGCGGGTTGGGGCTGGGGTCGCGCCCACCTACCGCGGCGGCGAAGCAGCTCCGCAGGGCCTCGAACTCCCGCGCGCAGACGTCCTTGCTCAGGCGGCCGCCGGGGGCCGTGGAGGCCTGCACGCACCTGCCGTACGCCGCAGCCTGCAAGGGGAGGGCGCCGTCGGGGGGCCTGACCGCGGCCATCGCCCCCCGGCCACCGCCCGCGCGGCCCTTCTGGCCCCACAGGCACGGCCCCGCCCTCGGCTCCTTACCTCGGCCCCGCAGGCCGCCAAGCGCTCCGGGAAGGCGCGGAGGCGGCTCCGCACTCGCCCCCACACCGCTCCGTTTGCCGACATGAGCGGGTCTTCCGGGCACCTGAGGGCGCCGCCATCTTAAGCCCGCCCTCTTCCGGCGTCCAGCTGTAAATCGGTCGGCGCTTCCGGGCTTAGCTTGCCCACTCTTCCAGGTTGGAGGCCTAGAGCCCCTGCAGTTGGCTCTGGTCCTTGTCTGTCTGTGGTCTGGGACTGCGGGTTGGTTCAGACTCAAATTGCTCACGAAGCCGACCTTAGGGCCCGCCTCCCGCGAGCGATTGGCTAGCGCGGCCAGAGCCGCGCGGTGATTGGAGGACCCGGGCCTGGCGGAAGCGGGGCAGGCCGGGAGGTGACTTGCACCATGGCTGCCGCGCCGCCGCTGCGGGACCGCCTGAGCTTCCTGCACCGGGTGAGTGAGGCCGGCTGGCCCCGCCGACTCCGGGCGCCTGGGGACCTTCCTGGGACGACGGGAAAGGACTGTTGAGCAGCAGGAGAGAAGGGCCGAGCTCTCCCTGATCGCGGAGGATGAGGGGGCGGCGGGCGGGCGGGCGACCTCCCGCACCCGGAGGCCGCGGCGCTCCGGACGGCACCTTGCCTAGGGAGTCTCAGGTCCTGGAGATGTCGCGTGCGGGATATGCAGACATCTCCAGGCGACGGAGGGGAAGCTAGAGGCTTGGGTAGTGGGTGCTCAGGAGCCTGTGACCAGCCATTGTCCGGAACGCTGCGTCGTCCTTTGACAGCCCTGAGCCCTAGAGCACCGGGTAGTCCGGGGACGCGCGCCTTGGGCTGCCAGAAGGGTCCGGTCTCCCGCGCAGAGCCTCGGACGGGACGCTTCTGTGCGAGCTCTCCTGTGTTCTCCTGTCGTCCTGCAGACCCCTCCCTCCAGGTCCCCTGCAGGGCGTGGTGGGCAAATAGCATGGTGTGGCCGTGTGTGTGTGTGTGTGTGTGTGTGTGTGTGTGTACAAGCGCTCGCGCTCACGGCCTGTTGTAACACACGTTGCAAGATTTTACGTATAGTCCTGACACATGGCTGCCATTCAGGTCACTGGCACCAGCCATGATTCCAGTGCTTATTATTTAAAATAACCCCCAACATATAAGTAAGTAAGTAAATAAATAAGTAAATAGAATAGCCCCCAACTTTTCCATTCCGGGCAGATACTGGATAACATGACAACATGTTAGTTTTCAACAGCATACTGGTATGATTACTGGTATGTCTGTTGATGTGTAAGCATAAAATCTAAAACTTCAGTTAGTTGTTCTCAGGAATCTGGAGAGTGAATGGTTCTGATTCTATGAACCTGTGCTCAGGAGAACTAGCAGCATTCACATTCTCTACGTAGAATGTTCTGGGCATTTTGCTCTTACTAGTCAATAAGCAGGAGTATTATTTAAAACCACCTCACATGTCAGTGAGAAGGTTGGGAGCTGGGCCTCGTCTTGACCCAAGAAGAGAACCATCATTCCTTTCTCTCCTCCCTGTGGCCTGGGGTCGGTTCTGGTCCCTCTTAGCTAGGTGAGGCCTATTTCTAACACCTCTGGTGACTGTGGGCCTACATGTGTAAGATGGCAATGTGTCACAGCTCTTGTTCCCTTTCAGCTCCCAATTCTCCTGAAGGGCACCTCGGATGATGATGTCCCGTGTCCAGGCTACCTGTTTGAAGAGATTGCTAGTATCCTTCCTCCATGTTCCTGGTGAGGGGGAGAGTGGATGGCAGGGGCCCTTTGTGGCTTTGAGGTTACTAGGGTTTCTGCTCTCCTGTGGGCATCCACACCTCCTTCATCATAGGATCCAGGGATGGCAGGTCCAAGAACTGCGATACAGGAGACCCTGGAAGCCCAGCACTCCTGAAACCAGGGCCTACAGTCAGTGCCGCTAGGAAGCACGCCCTGAGAAGGCCATTGGTAACAGGAGGTTGGGTTTCTCTCCTCAGCCAATGCATCCTGATGCAACGTGTGTTACAACAGGCCGTGAGCGCGAGCGCTTGTACACACACACAAACACACAGGTTCCTTCCCTAACCTGACCGCATTCCAGAAATCTCCCATGAGTCCCTGGGCAGCAGCCAGTGTCTACTGGAATACCTCCTGAACCGCCTGGACAGCAGCTCTGGCCACGTCAAGCTCAAGGTGAGTCCTTGAGTGGCAGCAGTCAGGCCCCAGTTCCCACTGTGGGTGGCAAGGCTGGAGGGGAAGACATGTAGCCAGGGTGTCGGGTAGCTGGGCTCTGCCCTGAGCATCCCATGCCAGAACCCTCAGCACTCTGTACCTGCGGACTCCCCAGGTGCTGAAGATCTTGCTCTACCTGTGCAGCCACGGTTCCTCCTCCTTCCTGCTGATCCTCAAACGCAACTCTGCCCTCATCCAGGAAGCCACAGGTACGTGGAGCCAGCACAGACTTGCTGGGGAAAGCCAGGGTGGGATGGCAGGGAGAAGGATTGTCAATTGATTGACTATTAAGGGGTGAAAAGGGGAATTTGTTTGCATTGGAGGTATTGGAGGTACGGGCTAAGGGTTCTCCACGGGCAGCTGTAAGCCCTCATGGGATGAGGTTGAGTAGATGAGGGGTGCTCTCATGCTCTGAGGCAGGAGAGCTTGGGGGTGACTGAGTCTGGTTTTCTAGGACCTCTGCTTTTTAGCAGAGGGAGCCTGGCACAGCCCAAAGCTGGGCGTGAGTGGGGCTGAACCAAGCAGGGCCTTTCAGGCCGTGATACAGACCTGGGTTGCACATCCAGTCCCTGCAAGGCCTCTTGTGTTGCGTCTGGCTGGAGGAGACTAGGCCTAAGGCAGCAGTGAGGGGTGAAGCAGTGACTTGGCAGGAGGGGAGGCATGGGTACCTGGGGAGACAGCAGCCACCACGGTGGTAGATAAGGGGCCACCGCTGTCGGGTAGGTGAGGAGGGTGCTGGGGATCTGCTTGGGTGTGGCCTGCATAGGTCCTGAGGAGGGACTCCTTGCTGGCCATGCCGGTAGGGATGGGGCATCCGTAGCCCACAGCTTGGGAGGAATGGGCCTTAAGAGCCATACTCTACAGGTGGTCAGCAGTGCCCAGGCTCAGCCACCCCTTGTTGGCTTTCTCTGCCTTCTAGTTTTTGCAGGGCCCCCGGATCCTCTCCACGGGAACAGTTTGTACCAGAAGGTGCGGGCAGCTGCCCAGGTGAGCCCAGGATCAGGGTCACTCTGAACTTGTACCAGAGTACCCACAGGGTGTTTGCCGTTCTCCTGCCACATGGGACCCCAGGCTCTGCTCCTTGCTGCCAGCCTCCAGCCCCTGTGTCTAGCTGGGCAGCTCAGGGGAAGCATCTGAGATGGAGCAGAGCTGACAGGAATGGGGGGCCAGAGCAGCAGGCCCATGTGGACGCTGAGCGCCCTGCCTCCTCCTCCAGGACCTGGGCAGCACCTTGTTCTCTGACGCCATGTTGCCGCTGCCTCCCTCCCAGCCTCCCCGGGGCCTGGCTCCAGCAGGTACTAGACATGGAGATCACGTTCAGCCTGTCACTGGGTTTCTTCCTCTGGAGTATTCTGAGCTTGGTTGCTTGTGTGGTGGGGCTAAGGGTGGGGTTAGCTGGTCACTGACTCAAGAATCCTCCCATAGGCATGGGCTCCCAGTCCAGGCCTCAGGGCACCCTCCAGGGTTTTGGCTACAGCAAAGAGCAAGCCCAGGCAGGTAAGAGGGTGAGGCTCTGGGGCCCCTAGCATATTGGGGGAGCAGGGAATAGGAGGACAGTGGGAGCAGGCCCCTGGGCCTCCCCTGCTAACCCCAGCCCCACCTTTGTGGACCCTTTCCTGGCGTGGTCCCCATTGGCATCTTTCTGCCCAGCCACGAGGAGAGCAGCAGGGCCGGGGCCCCACTGGCTTTGTGGGCAGGGGAGAGAAGTCAGGCTGGGAGGGCAGGGTCTAGCCAGCAACAGCAGCAGGGGCTCAGTCCCCTGATGGGACTGAGGGCTGAGGCAGCGGCCAGCAAGGTGGAAACAGCTGTCCCCTGTGCGAGGGGTGCGGGGAGCAGTGTCTGCAGACGCCTGCGGGCCGGGATCTGTGAAGCCTGTGCTGCTGTCGGGCATCTCAGCTGGCCCCTGACGCTGGCATCTGCTGGGGTCCAGTTGTTTGGTGCTGGACTCTAACAGACCATCCTGGTTGCAGCTCGGGGGGTTCCTGCTGATGCTTCATTTGGCTATGGCCTACACAGAGGCAGAGGAGAGGGTCTCCCTGCTGGCCCTGGGGGCAGGGCGGGGCTGGCTGGAGCACCGAGCTGGGAGGAAAGGGCCTTGAAAGCCAGGTTCTGTGGGCTTTTCTGCTTTAGCCCAGGAAAGAAAAGGGCAGCCCCTCCTGGCATCAGTCCTAGCACCCCTCAAGCAAAGGGCCCCAAACATTTTTGTTTCTTGGGACAAGCCCGTTGGATGCCCTTGCCCCAAGCTCCTATAAGCTGAGGGTGTCCAGGACCATGGTCCTGGGAACTACTGAAATGGAATATGCTGGAAGCTTCCAGGGAGCTGGGGTCCCACTAGGAACCTCTGCTCCTACCTGCAGCATGTATCCTGTCTTCTTCAGCCCTGAGCAGGGAGCAGCCCTGGCCCCTCCGTGCTGGAGAATGTGGGGACCAGGGGGCAGACTGGGGCTCATATGGCTCCCTTCTGTGGGCCTAGGCTCTGCCAGCGAGGCCCTCTTTTCCACCATCCAGAAGGCTGCAGAGGTGGTGGCTAATGCCGTGCGCCCTGGAGCCCAGAAACCCCCACCCTGGGGAGACACCTACCAGCCTGCCGTGACTCCTGCAGTCAGCCATGGCCTGCCCACCCCTGGGAACCAGCTCCCTGGAGCCCTCCCAGGTGTCCGAGGTACTGAGGCAAGGACTCCTGCTCTCGGGTCAGGCTGCTCCTCCTGTGTGCTGGGGCCTGGGGCTTTGGGGACGTGGAGGCAGGTGGCAGTGCTTCCTCACTTGGGGGAAGGGACAGATAGGAAGCAGAGCTGCCCCCCCACCACCTGGAACAAAGCCTCTGAGGGTCACAACTGCCATCTTTTCTTGCAGCCACCAGACACCAGCCTGGGCAGGCCGGAGGGGGCTGGGATGAGCTGGACAGCAGCCCCAGCTCCCAGAACTCCTCCCAGAACAGTGACCTGAGCAGGGCCTCAGACTTGGGCAGTAGGTCTGGTAGTGACAGCCAGTCAGGGGCCAGCCGGGAGCCAGGCGACCTGGCAGAAAGGTGAGCAGGATCAGCTAGGGGAGGGGACATGTGGCCTCCACTCCCACAGGGGTCTTCCCCAGGGCTCCTGCTGTCCAGGCCTCACCCCAGCTTAGGGAGGGGGAAGGGCCGTCCCCCTCCACCAGAGCTGGAACTGCCTGAGTACTTTCCCTCCCCAGGGCGGAGGCTGTGGCCGCCAGTGACTGCCAGCAAGAGCTAAGCCTGGTGAGGACCTTGGTGCAAGGGCCACGCACCTTCCTGAGCCGGGAGGAGGCCCAGCACTTCCTCAAAGAGTGAGTTGACGCCCGCCCCACCCCCCACCAGCCAGGCTTGCGTGGGGACACCCAGCATCCCCTCCTGCCCACAGGTGCGGGCTGCTCAACTGTGAGGCCGTGCTGGAGCTGCTCCTCCACCGCCTGGACGGGGCTGGTGAGCACCAGCAGATGGTGAGAGGGGCTCTGGGGCCACGTGGGGCGGGGGCACCGGGGAGCCAGGGGGCGGTGTGCACAGGGCTCAGCCTTGGGGTTGGGTGTGCTGTTGGGTGCTGACCCTGCCTCCTGCCTCCCAGAGGGCCCTGAGTGCCATCGCCTCCCTCGGCTGTGCTGACCTCCTTCCCCTGGAGCACGTCCTCCTCCTCTCCCAGTCAAGGTTGCAGCAACTCAGCAGGGGAAACCCTGGACCTGTGACCAGCAAGGCCACCAAGGTGGGCAGCAACTGGGGCCACTGGCAGTGTCCCTCTCCTGGACACATGCCCCACAAGGCCCTTCTTGGTGGGCAGTGCTGGCAGAGGAAATGGAACAGGGTCCTTGCTGTCCCCTGCGCCCTGTGCTGGCTGCACCATGTTTGGGGCACGGTCACGTCCCAGAACCCCAGCCCTCAGCCTCAGCGCCTGGCTCGCTCTTCCTCCTCCCTCCCTCCCTCCTTGCAGCCTCACGGCCAGGGGAGCCTCCTCCGACTCCAGTCCTGGTCTGCGTCCACTTCCCCAGTGTTCTGAGTGCTGCTGGCCCCTCCCAGCCAGGCCTGGCCCCTCCATCGTCCTGGTCCCCATTTTTTCCCATTCTGTGGCTGCTGGGAGTACAGCTGCTCGTCACCCAGCCTCATCTCCGTCTGCCACTGCGGCCCGCTGATGGGCTCCAGTCACAGTGCTGAGTGAGCCTGGGCTGCACATTGCTGTGGGTGCATTTCATGTCCACCTGTTGGGGTGACCAGACATGCTGAAGAACTGGCTCTTCAGTTTCCCTAATGGTTCCCAGGAAGTTCTGAGGACAGGAATGTCTACCTGCATGGCAGTGACATAGGGAGGGCAGCGATGACAACAGGCTCCTGCCCAAGCTGGCCCTGCCTTCTAGGCAGTGTGCTAAGAAGGGCATGTGAGGAGGGACCAGCTGTCCCCCAGGACTCCTGGAGCTATGCAGGAACCTCCCACTTCCTCTCTTCCTCCAGATCCTGAGGCACCTGGAGGCCTCCTGTGGACAGCAGCCCCCTGCTCCCAGGTCCTGCACTGAGCCTGGCCCCGCAGCGACCCTTGCAGGCCCATCGGACTTGCTGACTGGCCTCTCGCCTCCCCCTGGGGGCCAGGCCTTCCTCCAGCCGCTGAGCTCCACCCCAGCCTTGCCTAGGAGCCCTGTGCCCTCCCCACCCCTGGACTCCTGTCCCCTCCCAATCCCTGGAGACACCAATGAGGCTGAAACTTCTCTGGCAGTGTCTAGAGAGCGGGGCCCAGACACCCCAAAAAGAGGCCCTAGTCGCTGTCGTGGCTCCTTGTTTGCTGGCATGGAGCTGGTGGCCTGCCCCCACCTGGGTGGCACCAGGGCTTCTATAGAGGCGCCCCACCCAGCCCAGCCTCCCCAGGCACAGGCCCAGAAGGCAATGGTTGCCGAGCCTGTGGGCTCCGAGCCCTCAGCTTTCCCGTTCTTAAATGTGTGACCAGGTGGACCTGGCATCTGGTTTCCTTGTTCTCAGCTGGTGGCTCCCAGGACCCTGTGGCCTCCTGCCCGTCAAGGCATGGTTCTCCTAGGGGTCTGCTGGCAGTTTCCTTGCACCTTTCTGGCCTCTCACCCTCACCCACTGGGGCCTTGGTGTGGACAGCCACTAATGGAGCCTGTGCGGCACCTCTACATGCCCCAGACCGGCCAGGACAGGGCGCACGTGCTGAAGAGCAGGTTTATCTGGTGCCCCCACCAGTCATCTGTGACGCCTGCCCTCCAGGCCAGTTCCCCAGCCATGCCCCTGCAGGATAGGACCCACACATGCCTTCTCAAGGGTCTGGGTGGCTGGGGGCCACCTGTCGTCTTGGGGTTTTGGCCAGTGCATCTGCAAACTAATGCTTCCTGAAGGCTACTGGCCAGTCTCCAGGCAACCTGACCAGAGAAGAGTACCCCAGGGCTGTCTCAGTCTTGTCCATCTGCCTCCTTGACTGGATGCTGGCTACTTGGGCTTGAATTCCTGTAGTGGCAGACAGGGTTTCAGGTGCTGGCCTTGGGGTCCAGGAGCAGCCGTGCCTTCAGAGTCGAGGGTTGGACTTGGGAGCAACAGCTTGGTTCTTACTTTGTTTTGGTCCCGACCTCAGATCCTTCTCAGAAAGGCCACAGTGGCCAGAGCCCACTGCCTTGTGGGGTTGGGTGCTGGTGAGGCTGGTGTGGTGCCCATGGGTGCAGCAGGCCTGGTTCCTGGGTGCCCTGCCCCGGCCTCGTGCTGCTCCCCTTGGCCCCAGCTGCCTCCTGCAGACTGCATGGGAGAGATGGAGTGCTCCTGCCCACCCATCCCACGAGAGCTGCCAGAGTGCTGGGGTCTACACTCTGAATAAAAACACTACTGTTATATGCAGTTGAGCCACTTTTTCCCCCTTTCTTCTGCATGTGTACATTTTAATGAAGACACCATTAGTAAGAACACACTTTGAGGATTTCTTTTTTTGGGGGGGCTTATTAGGGATCAAACTCAGGGGTACTCAACCACTGAACCACATCCTCAGCCCTTATTTATATTTTCTTTAAAGACGGTCTCCCTGAGTTAAGCTTAAGTTGCTGAGGCTGGCTTTGAACTCGCCATCCTCCTGCCTCAGCCTTCTGAGCTATTGGGATTACAGGTGTGCATTGTCCCGTCCCGCTCGCTCTGAGGATTTCTTAACGTAGGGCGGCTGTTATTAACTGTTTGGCACAACTGCCAAGTGGCCCCATCCTTGCCACTAACCTTACTGTGTCCATTCACACCTCGATCCTGGTGGTGGTCACATCACTCTGCCTGCGATGAGAGATGTCAAGCAGAGGAGATGAGCACCAGCATCGATGAAGGGATCCCTGCTTCTGAACCAGAGACCTGCAGGCTTCAGGTGACCCCGTCAAGTCTCAGCTGGGATGGAACCCAGGGACTCACCTGCCAAGCAAGTGCTCTACCACAGAGCTGTGCCCCAGGTCCTTCTGCTGGATTTTTTAAGATATAGTGACAAACAGTGAAAATCAAAGGAATTAGAATAACTGAGGTGATCTTGAATAAGAACACACCAGTAACTGATCTCAGCACAGCTGAGGCTGGTGTTGGCCACAAGGTAGATGCTGATCAATGGACCAGCACATGTAGACCATCCCTCTTCTGCAAAAGTGACTGGCCCTGAAGAAGGGGCAGCCTTTAAGACAGTGCTAAACAGCAGACATCTGCATGTGGAAAAAGGAATAAAAAACAAATCTTGGCCCATACCTCACACCTTACCTGTAGTTTAAACGGAACCATAGGTCTCAACATGAAGCAAAACTGTCAAGCTTCCAGAAGAAAACAGAAGTTTCTGTGGTTTGGTTAAGCAATAGTGTTATGAGATAGAAAAAGGACTTTATTATTAAAGTTAAAAAAAAATAAAAAAAACTTGGGGCTGGGGTTGTGGCTCAGTAGTAGAGCGCTCAGTGTGTGCAAGGCCCTGGGTTCGATCTCAGCACCACATAAAAATAAAATAAAGGCATTGTGTACATAAAAGAAATGAATATTAAAAAAAAGAATGATTAAAAAAAAAAACTCTTTAGCCAGGTGTTGTGGTACACACCTGTAATCCTAGCTACTTGGGAGGTTGAGGCACGAGGAGCCCAGGCAATTTAGCAAGGCCCCCAGCAACTTAAACCCTATTTCAAAATAAAAGGGCAGGGGTTGTGGGTCAGTGGCAGAGCACTTGCTTTGCATACATGAGGGTTCAATTTCTACTACCTACCAAAAAACTACAAAAACAAAACTTCTTTTGACAGTTAAGGGAATGAACAGAGACAGAGAAGATATTTTCAGGTCACCTGTCTCCTATGAAGGACTGATATAAAGACCTTGTAAGGAACACTCAAAACTGAGAAAAAGGACCCACGTTACAAAGTGAACACAATATGTGAACAGATATGTCCCCAAAGGATCTGTGTGAACACAAGGCGCACGTGTCAGGAGTGGATTCTCAACGCCCCTGATCATCAGGAAGGGTCCTGAAGGCTGTGTGGGCTCCGACGACCTGCCTGTCACTGGGACTGTAGAGGAGGGACCCTGGCAGCAAGGGGCCCAGAGGGCTGCAGGAGTGTGGAGCTGCAAGCTTGTGGAACATTCTGGTAGCTTACAAGCACCCAGTACACGACCCACAAGCCCCTCCCAGCACTCACCCAAACAGAAGCCACCTCCACTCAGTCTAAGCTAGTCTAGAGCCACTGCTTCAGTGGCAGTGCTGGGGTTGAGGCTGGGTCCTAAGGTTGAAGAACAAGGTGACAGCTGGGCTTGCACCAGGGGGAGAACCAGGCCCAAGGCTACACCATGACCTTGAAGCTGCACGACCATAGGGCCTGAGGGCGGGGAGGGTTTGGCAGTGAGGAGGTCCAGTTCTAAGTCAGCTTTTCATCACGGGGACAAATACCCAAGAATAACAACTTCTGTTGTAGCTCAGTTTCAGAGCTCTCCACCCATGGCTGGCTGGCTGCAGTGTGTTGGGCCGGAGGAGAGGGAGGAGAGGGAGTGGGAGAGAGGGAGCAGGAGCCCCAGCAAAAAGTACCCTTGCAGGGCACACACCCAGTGACATGCAGCCTTGCTACAGCCCAGTAGTCTACGCACCCATCAGTGTGAGCTCTGACCTCCTGATCCCGTTACCCCCTGAAGGCCCACCTCAGGACACTGCAGCACTGAGGACCACGCCTTCAGCACACCAGCTTGGAGGACATTCCGATCCACCCCAAACACACACACACACACACACACACACACCCGTGTGGGTGGAAGAGTGTTTTGCACCTGGGTTGCAGAGGTGGTTGCACAACTCACACGGCCAACACCGTGAATTTTACTATGTATAAGCCAACTCTTCTATTTTATTTACTTATTTATTGCAGTCCTGGGGAATGAACCCAGGCAAACAACCACTGAGCTACATTCACAGCCCTTTTTTGGTTTTTATTTTGAGACACGGCCTCATTAAGTTTTCCAGGCTGGGGGCTGGGGACATAGCTCAGTTGGTAGAGTGCTTACCTTTCATGCACAAGGCCCTGGGTTCAATCCCCAGCACCACACACACAAAAAAAGTTTTCCAGGCTGGCCTTGAACTTGTAACACTCTTGCCTCAGCTTCCCGAGTCCCCAGGATTATAGGCCTGCACCATTATTGCTCCCAGCTTCAAACCTCTTTTCTTTCTTTCTTTCTTTTTCTTTTTTTAAATTTTGAGACAGGTTCTCTCTAAATTGCTCAGGGCCTTGCTAAGATGCTGAAGCTGGTCTCTATTTGCAATCTTCTTGCCTCAGCCTCCCCAGCATCTGGGATTACAGGCATGGTCTACATGCCCCGTTCAAACCTTTTTTAAAAGAATAAAATAATAAAGGTGTTTAAGGGGAAAAAAAGGTGGGGGTGGAGGTTATAGCTCAGTGGTAGAACGCTTGCCTAGCATGTGTGAGGGTTCGATTCTCAGCACCGCCTATAAATAAAATAAAGGTTCATCGACCACAACAACAACAATAAAAAAATATACATATACCTGTAATCCCAGCGGCTAGGGAGGCGGAGGCAGGAGTTCAAAGCCAGCCTCCACAATTTAGCGAGGCGCTAACTCAGTGAGACCCTGTCTCTAAATAAAATACAACATAGGGCTGGGATGGGGCTCAGTGGGCAAGTGCCCCTGAGTTCAGTCCTTGGTACCAAAAAAAAAAAATTATATATATTAATATAAAAGGTATGTGGAGAGGCCAGCACTATGTTGTTACTGTAATACAACTTTTGTTGAAGAGGGCATCCGATCTGTATGTCCAGGGTTCCCTGGGCAGAGTCAGGAGAGCCAGAGCGGGGCGAGGGCTCGGACCACGCAGCACGGGACGCACTCCCGGCCTAACGCGCGCCTTCCGTGCACCAGGGGACGGAGCCGGGCCAGGGGTGGGATCAAGAGGCGCGTTGGTTCCGCCCACCGCCCGCTCCGCCCACGCGTTGGCCCCGCCCCAGAAGCTCCGCCCTCTTCCGGCCTCATCCAATCGGCAGCCCGCCGCCGTCGCGGGCCCCCAGCTCTCCGCCGCTCCTCCCACGCTGGAACCTCCCGAAGGACAGCCCAGTGGTCCAATGAGGTCCCGAGAATTCCAAAGCGGGAGGCCAGAAGACCAATCCGAAAGCGACGCTGGCAGGAAAGGCGGGCCGGGTGACGGGCAGGGGAGGCGGTGCCCGAGGGGTTGCTAGCCGCGGCCCCTTGCCCGCCCTCACCGCGCTTTATTGTCACCCGCCCGGGGCACCGCTGGGGACCGCGGGGCGCCAGGTCGCCCGCCCGGCCGAGTCCGCGGGCCCCGCGCCCCAGGCCCAGCTCGCGCAGGTGAGGGGTGTCCGCGCAGGTGAGTCTCGCCCTGCAGGTGAGACGGGGCTGGTGCCCCCGGGCGGCCCTCTCCCGCCCTCCCCAGAGGGCGACGTGGAGTACGGCCGGGGGTCTCAGGACCCCGCCTTATGCCCAGGGGAACCGGGGAGACCGGAGCGGCCCGGGGAGAAGCGGAGGGCGCCGCACTGCGCAAGGGCCCTACTCCTGCGCGTCCCCGCGTCCCCCCCACGCGGGGCCAGGCGGGACGCTGGACCTGACCCCTCAGGCCCCGCGAGGAACACCTTTCCACCCGGGGTGCGGTTGGCCTCCCAGGCCTCCCTTCATCCTGCCGGAGGTTTCCATGGAGAGGCTATGTTTACCCAGGAGCCTCGCTGGCTGCACGTGTGGCTGGGACAGCAGGGTCCGCTGTGTCCAGCTGGGCGTGGCCAGTGCCGAGGAGGGGGGGGGTGTTAAATTTCACCGGCAAGCAGGAAACGCAGAGCTGAGGCCACTGACCAGGCCAGTGGCAGGTCTGCCGCTAGAAAACGGGGGACCCACGATAGCTCTGTGCCCTTGGCACACCGGATGCAGTGACAGGGACTGTAATCACATGTAACATTTGGGTCCTCATTCCCTCAGCACTCACCACTTGAGCCCTTTCTGTGTGTCAGGTACTGTGGCTACAAGGTTCCTGTCCTCTCAAGGGAGTCACCCAATTCAGAAAACAATCCTGTGTGGTGTTTGAAGAGGAAGCAGGATATGGGAAAGAAGAGGGTTGGGGTGGTAGACAAGGTCAGGTAGGCAGAAGGGCCAGCAGGTGCAGAGATGCTGGGATGGGCCAGCTGAGCATGAGAGTGGGCAGGGGTGGGGGGTGGGTGTGTGTCAGGGAGCAGGGTCAGATCTGGGGTGTTTGATTCTCTGTGCCTGGAAAACTGTTTCCACCAGGATATAATGCCAGCTGGGAGTGTTGTGAAACTCAGGTGCCCGGTGAGGACAGCAGGGGGCCGGGCAGGTGGAGGGGCTGTTACAGGAGCCAAGACAAGGAGTCTGACCCAACCAGGGTTGAGATGTGGAGGGAACCAAGAGGCCAGGGGTGGATGGGAAAGAGAAGCTGGGGCTGAGCCCTGGGGGCTTCCAACTCAGAGGAAAAGAGCAAGGGAGACTAAGAGCAGCCTACATGAAAAGGGGTGGCAGGGTGCCCCGAAAGCACAAGAGCAGCTGCCTCATCCAAGAGATCAGGGAGTGCCCAGGGGCTCTGAGGGGGTCTTGGCTAGAGCTTGGGGACCCTGAGCTTATTGTCCTAGGACTTTCAAGACCAAATCCTGCTGGAGTAACTTGGGTTGTTGAGTGCACACCCTATGCTAGCCCCAGGTCACACCTTGTGGTGCCCACACAGAGGCACTTCTAAAATTCCCATTTCACTGAAGAAAGTGGCTCAGACAAGTGGAGTGCCTTGCTCAGGATCATGGTGCTGGTAGTAAATGGTAGTAAATGGTAGAGCTCTGCCATTTACTACCAGCACCATGATCTTGAGCAAGGCACTCCACTTGTCTGAGCCACTTTCTTGCAGTAATATGCTGCCCACCTGCCTATCACCCAGAGGCACCTGCTCAGCCCTGTACTGGCATGGGGTTTAGAACAGCCCCCTTGTATTTCTGTTAAGGGGCTCACCTGCCAGTGAGGAGGGTGTCAGGTTCCTGGAGGGTTTGGTGGCAGGTGGACCCAGGTGTCTTGAGCTGGCAAGCAGGTGGTGTTTGCAGGGGACTGCAGTTTTTTCGGGTGTCTCACTGTATCTCTTGTTTCCCTCTTAAGGTCTGTCATGTCCACCATGAAAGGCTCACGGGCCACTAGTGGTACCCCTGAGGGCAGCCCGGAAGGTGTGGACCTGAGTCTGACTGGCCTCCCTCTGCCCATGTCCCGGCGTCCTAGCAGTGCCTCTACAGCCAAGCCCGTCACCCGCTCCATCTCTGTGGCCACAGGCGGCACAATGAGGAGGAGGGCTCTGGTGAGTGCAGCGTAGGGCCCTGGGTCCTGTTGTCATGGGTGGCATCTGGCCCCAGGGCAGTTCTGTGCAGTTCTTGGCCATTTCCAAGCAGGAATGGTCCAGGCCGTGCACACCTGGGAGCTGACCCGCAGGAGGACACAGTGGCCAACTGGCCTGAGGCAGAGCCCACATCCTAGCACCAGGCCCTGTCCCTCCTGCTCTGCTGCCCTTGGATTTGTTTGGAATCTTAATCAACAAGGTTGACCTGTGGGGAGGGTGCCACGCTCCTGTGACCCTGGAGAACCCTGGATGGGCTCCAGTGTGCTGGGCAGGGGTGCTCCTCCTGCCACCTGTGCTGGGGCAGGGAATGAGGCTGTCACCCCACACATCAGGTGGCTGAGGGGCTAGGATTTGGTCTCAGGGAAGTACTGGGGGGGGGCACGGCAGTGCCCCACAGAGGGGCCTGGGAGCTTGGCTTAGATGCCCAGACAATCTGGGGCTCAGACAGTCTAGTCCTGGTGGGGATCCTGGCAGGGTAGAGAGTAGCCTCATGGGTTGGGGTGGTGGTTCCCCTGTGGATAAAAGCCTTGCTCCAGCTGGGCGGGTGGACACGCCTGTAATCCCAGTGGCTCAGGAGGCTGAGGCAGGGGGATCATGAGTTCAGAGCCGGCCCTAGAAACTTAGTGAGGCCCTAAGCAACTCAGTGAAACCCTGTCTCTAAATAAAATATAAAGGCTGGGGATGTAGCTCAGTGGTTAAGTGCCCTTGGGTTCTTCCCGCCCTTCTCCTTAAAAAGGTCACTCCTGCTTTCATGAAAGCCAAGTTCTGAGGTGAGGACAGCAGTCTAGCAGAGGACCTTCTATCCAAACAAGATCCCAAAGCCCAGGACCCTTGTGATGGGGACCTGGGACGTTCTACCAGGGCACTCGTGGTGGCCATAGGTTTAAGATACAGTGTCCTGCTTCAGCGGAGTGATGGCCAGTTTGGGCTAGTGTGTCACTGATACCTGCTGCCCTCTGCAGCTCCACCTTGCTCCAGAGTCACTGGACCCTGCCTCCTGTCCAGCTCCCTCCCACTGCCCAGGAGGCCTAGAAGGGGGCATGGGGGGGATGATGCGGTGACACACTGTGGCACAGTGGTGTGGAGTTGCTGGCTTGCTAGTGCCCAGCTGTGGTTGGCTGCACCTGTGGCTGACCTGGGCACCTACCACCCTCTCCCACCTCTCCACTTGAGGGCATTCTGTTCCTGAACATGGGTTTAAAGACAAGGCCAGCACAGGTCCTATCCAGGCATCTTCCCAGGCTGCCCCCTTGCCTGCCCCAGTGTTGAGGGTGGAGCTCGTGAGTCCTCTCCGTGGCAGAGTGTCCAGCTGTTTCCTACATTTATGATCGTAGCTTGCTCCCTGGTATCCCTGGGCAGGGGTCAGATGTGGGTAAAAGCCACCACCCAGCGAGGAGTGGCTCTGGGCAGTGCCTGTCCTCTTGGCCACCTTGCTGCCACAGGTGTCTTTGGGGTTTGTGGGGAGCACTTGCCAGGCCATGGCTCCATGCCTGACATGGGGCTGATGACTCTCTTTCTCCTGTTCTCTGTGGGGCTGGAGTAGCCCCTGGCTGGGGGCCATTTTGCTGACCATCTGCCTGGTATTTCCATATCACCTTTGTCTCCAAAGACTTCCCTCTCTCCAGGGCCCTCTGTCCTGCGATTGTCTGGGACATGAGCTGTAGTCACTGGTGGTCTTGTGGCTCAGGTGACGTCAGTGCCGGACCACCCTGCAGTTGGAGGGAGGGGCTCCTGGCTTGTGACTTTGTGTACCTTCCGAGCACACCCTTTCCACCTTGGCGCCTTCAGTGAGCACAAGACCCTCCTCCCTTCTTGACATCAGCCTCAGCAAGGAGGTGGGAAACCGCTGCCAGGAAGACCCAGGACAGACGAAGCTGTCCATATCCGTCACCCGGTGCCGCCGTGCTGCCGCTTTGTTTGAGTGTTTTAAAATTCTACCTATGGGACTGGGGCTGTAGCTCAGTGGTAGAGTGCTTGCCTAGCGTGTGTGAGGCCCCGGGTTCGATGCTAAACACCACACAAAGGTAAATAAAATAAAGGTATTGTGTCCATCTACAACTAAAAAATACATATTTTAAAAAATTCTGTGTGTGCTATTTTTAATGGTCACATGCACACGGTTTAAAATGCAGAGAGACACCAGAAGGGGGCCCATCAAGCAGCAGACCTGCCTGTCACCTCTCCGGGCAACATGTCAGGGTGGCTGTGTGGTGCTGCGGGTCTTGCTGCTCCAGTACACAGGCACACGTGGGCCCGCGTGCGGGCTGTGTCTTGTAGAACCCCGAGTGGCTGTGCGCAGCCGTTGCCCTCTCTAACAGCAGGGCAGAAGGTCCTCTTGTGGGTGGTGCCACCACGAGTGTCTTCAGGCCTGTGTTTGCCAATACATACATGATCTTGTAGAATAAATCTTAAAGGTGGAACCACTGGGTCAGAGCACGTGGTATTGGTATTGCCGAGTGCTCCCGGCTGGGTGTGGCTCAGTGGGGGCCCTGGGTGCTGCCAAAAGAAGCTCATCGTCCCCTCACCGGTGGCAAGGAGAGTGCCACTGATTGACTGTGACACACAACATGCCCACAATTGTTAGTCTTTACTAATTTGGTATGCACAGAAAGAGAACTGATGGTGCTGTTTTTTAGCAGTTGTAGAGAAGTTTATTTAACTTAAATCATTAAGGTCTATATTTATAGCTTTGCTTCATTTAGGTAAGCACATTAGGAAAAAAATGTAAATTACATACTATGAAAGTGTACTTTTAATGAAACGTGGTTTTAACAGAACATGAATATGTAAGTTTAGTGTGTTTTATTACATTGTTAGAAAATTGTATTAGAAAGATGCAGCCAGGTGCTGTGGTGGCGCCTGTAATCCCAGAAGCTCAGGAGGTTGAGGCAGGAGGATCAAGAGTTCAAGGCCAGCCTCAGCAATTTAGTGAGGCCCTAACCAACTCAATGAGACCCTGTCTCTAAATAAAACACAAGAAGGGGCTGGGGATCTGGCTCAGTGGTTGAGTGCCCCTGAGTTCAATTCTCGGTATCAAAAAAATCACAATGTTATTTTTGTTTATTTTGCAACCAGTATGCCATCTTTTACCACATGGCTTTGAATCTTGTTCTCTTCAACAAGTTTCAAAGAATAATTTATTACATGCCTTAATAAAACATAAATATTTTCAAATTCAAATAGATGTTTGGCAATGAGAAAAGTTTACCTGAGAACTCACACGTTAGAAATAATGAGATGCCACAAGAACTCAATCACGTGTGTGGAGTGGGTGGCAGGGCCAGCCTTTACTTCTGCTGAAGGGCTTCCGGGGAGCTAGGCTAGCAGGCCGCTGCATGTACCTGGATCCTGACATAGCTGCCCTTCACTCTGCTTGAAGGAGCTTGGGGGTCACGGTCTGCGTGATTGACTGATTCTAGAATCAGGGCAGCAGAGGGGAAGGGCTGAGTTGGTCCACTACAGGCCGAGGGCCAGGTTCTGTGCTGGACACAGCCTCTCACGGTGCACTTTGCCCCTTGTTTCTTCCCCCGAGCTGCCGGCGTGGCAGTCCACATCTGGGTCTGCGGTGTCAGAGGCATTGATCTCCCTGTGTGAAATCGGGTGAGGATGAGCCGCAGGCTGCGTCCTTACAGCTTCAGAGGGAAAGCCAAGACTGTCCACACGAGCTGTGGGGTACCAGTGTGGGATGCTGGCCCAGGCCGTGACCTGGTCAATGGCTGAAGCCCACAGTTGTCACATGCCCGATTTTTGCCTGACATCTTTTTTGGGGGGGCGGGGTACAGGGGATTGAACTCAGGGGCACTTGCCCAGTGAGCCACATCCCAGCCCTATTTTGTATTTTATTTAGAGACGGGGTCTCACTGAGTTGCTTAGGGCCTCGCTGTTGCTGAGGCTGGCTTTGAACTTGCGGTCCTCCTGTCTCAGCCTCCTGAGCCGCTGGGATTACGGGAGTGCACCGCAGTGCCTGGCCTGACGTCTTTATTTTGCCCCAGGATCCCACAGGGCATTGGGCCCCCTCGGTCCCCTGTGGCCGAGGCTCAGCCCCTCCTCCGTGACTTGACGGTGGTCTGCGGGACGTTCTCCTGGGTAGGCAGGTTTGGCGGACCACAGAGCTGACGGCCCTTTCATGGCGTGAGGCCTCCCTGCCACTCGTCAGGTTCCCTTTCTTACTTGCTCTCTGGAGGGCTCTGACCCATGTGGCCCACGCTTGGGGACCTGTGGGCCCTGCTCTAGCCAGAATGTCTCCACAGGCTCTTTGGGGTTTGTGACCAGCGCGTGCTGCTCTGGTACCCCTTGCTTGCTGATCTGCCGGCTCCAGCCTTGGCCCCGGGAGCTCTTGCGCCTGGCTCTTGCTCCCTTGGACTGGCTCACCTTTTGGTTTTGAGCACTTGCTTTCTTCCTTTCTGGCCCAACAAACTGCTCTGGCCTCATCTTGTGTGTTCTGCTTTGCCCTGCTCCATGCAGAGGTGCGGTGGGCACACACTGGCCCACCTCAGCCTACAGCCCCCCAGGTGGAGTGGCACTATGTGGCCCACGCCCCCATCCCACCTCACCTTCTGGGTGTTGTTGAAATCCCCTCTGTAAACCGTACTGTTGGACATGAGGCTGGCCCAGGGTCCCAGGTGAACTGGCGTTTTGATCAGGTGGGAAATTCTGGGGACTTTGAGGTCACCCCCGAGACGCTGAGGGCAGAGTCTGGGGCTTGCTCTGGTGAGGCGCAGGCCTCCGTTGCCCCTCTCCCTGAGCAGGTGCGGCCCACCTCAGCCAGCCTCCCTGAGGAGGCGGAGGGTGCCCTCTGCCCCTGTCTGATAGGCACAGTGCCAGGGCCAGGCAGACATTCCTGGGTCTGCCCAGAAGAGCAGTGGCCTCTCTGGGTCCATGGTCCCAGTTTCAGCCGTCGCTCAGCTCCCTTCGCCGGGTCCTGGGTGCTGGGTGCACGCTTGGTGCCCTTGCCACAGCCCTGTCCTCTGGAGCCTTTCCCAGTGCCTGGCCTGGGCCCCTAGTGTGGTCCAGCTGGGACCACCACAGGAGTAGCACTGACCTGCCAGACTTGACAGCTGCCTCTGGAAACAGACCGTGACAGTCCGTGAGGGTCGCCGCCCACAGCCTGGGGGGAGTGTGCGTCCTCTGCAGGGAAGGTGGGTGCTCCCACCTTCTGACGTCAGAGCCCTGTGTCTCTGCTGTGGCCGCTCCGGCCCACTGTCCGCTGCTTCAGAAAGCGACTGCGAGCCAGGGGAGACGCCAGGGAGAATCGTCTGCTTCGCGGCTTCCCGCATGTGACGGGTCCCTTGGTTTTGTTTTTTGTCTTCTGTGAGGGGGGGTTTGTTTTTAGCTTAAGGATTCTGATTTTAAAACCTGAAAGTCTGTGTCTGTTTTCCGGTCTGGGGGCTCACTGTTGGGGTGGACCCCCGTTGGCGTCAGGTTGAATCTCACTGATGATGTGAACAGTGTGTGGGGTGGGGAGGGTCCCCCGCTGTTTCTCACTCTGGACTTTCCCCCAAAGTGCTTGATTTGGAAGATCTTAAGCCTGCGGGAAGCTGGAAGGCAGCCCCGGGCCCAGCCTCGTTCCACTGAGCCCTTCCCCACCTGCCTCAAGCCTGTCACTGCCTCTCCCAGGAGCGAGGCCCAGCAGTGGCCCAGAGGCCACCCACAGTGCCTCCCTCAGCCTGGCCTCAGGGCTCCACGCCCTCGCGGCCTGCGGCACTCTCCTCCCCAACAGCCTCCTGCCGGGGGGCTGTGCAGACTGCCCTCTGTCCCAGACTCCCCCGAGGGCTTGCTGCCCACCGGTGCCCCCATCTCCTCTCTCACCCCATGGCAACCCAGAGCCGCCTGGCTGTGCTCCCGACAGGAGATGGCTCACAGCCAGCCTGCTGCCTGGCCACGACCCTCCCCACCTGTGCGGGAAGTCCAGGCTCTAGGAGGTCGGCCCTGCCCAGCCCCCACACTGCCCCGTCCTGCCTACCTGCTCCTGGGTCACTTGTGTCCCAGTCCGTCCCTAAACCGAGCATGCGTTCCATCTGTCCCTCCAGGGCTTGCCTGTGCTGAGCAGGCTGACAAGGGTCGGAGACTTCGGCCATTGAGTGGCTTTCTCTCCCTCTTCGCAGGAGGCCACAGGGCCTGGGGGTTCCCGGGCCATCAACAACCTTCGAAGATCTAACAGCACCACACAGGTCAACCAGCCGTGGACCAGCTGCCCCAGGTAACCCCAGCCCATCGGGTGGCCTCATCACCCCAGCTTCTCCCAGAGCCCTCTGGTAGCCCAGCCCCCAGGTAGCCCCTGTCCTCTCCTGCCTCAGCCCTTTGTCAGCTCCATCTGTGCCCCTTTAAAGCCTGGGGCCTGGGGTGAGCTCCATGCAGGTCCACCTCTAGCCATGGGCTGGGTGGGGAGGCCACCAACAGGCAGACAGTCTTGTCTCATTGGCAGGGTCCTCCAGGCAGATCTGTCCACCTTCCCCTGGGGTCAGGCCTGGGTACAGAGGCACCGGCACCTGGCAGTTCCCCATCCTCCTGGTGAGCCTGTGCCGTTTCCGCCAGTTAAACAGCTGCTGCCCCGCTGGCTCCACTCCAGTGGGAGGGGATGCCCAGTGCCAGCAGGGGACCCAGCCTGCAGCCAGCAAACCCTCAGGACAAGGGCCTAGGCTGACACCTCCTCCTACACGTCTTGTCTGCAAGAGGGCAGATGCCAGCTCGGGCTGCAGATGTGTAGACTGATAAGTTCTGGGCCAGCCCAGGGGTCACCTCCCCTGAGGAACAGGACAGTGCTGCCCCGCCCAGGGTCGGTGGCCTCAGGGGTTGGCATTGTATGTCTACCAGAGGCAACTTCAGAGCCCAGGACTGTGGCGCAGAGCAGCTGGGATACTTGCTGCACTTTTTATTTCTTCTTCTTTTCTTTTTATTTGTTTTTTTTTTTGGTGCTGGGGATTGAACCCAGGGCCTCCTGCAAGCTAGACAAGTGCTCTATCACTGAGCCACACCCAGCCCATCAGTGATCCTTAGTACACTTGAGTTGTACCGCCATCGTCACGGTCATGTTTTCTCCCTAGAGAAAGCCCCGTGACCCTTGATGGTCACTTCCCTCCCTCCCACCCACTGGCCACCAACCTGCGTGCTGTGGGTTCGCCTGTTCTGGACATTTCCTGCAGCTAGAGTCACAATGTGTGGCCTTTGGTGTCGGGCTTTTTCCTGGAGCTCAGTGTGTTCGAGGGCCATCTGTGCCATGGCGATGGCCAGTGGATGACCAGTGCTGCATACCTCATAGTGGGTTGATTTATCACTGGCTGGGCGCAGTGGCATGTACCTGTGATCCCAGCAACTCAGGAGGTTGAGGCAGGAGGACTCAAGTTCAAGGTCAGCCTGGGCAACTTAGCAAGGCCCTAAGCAACTTAGGAAGACCCCATCTCAAAAGCAAAGAGTGCTGGGGATGAAACTCAGTGGCTAGCGTTCCTGGGTTCAATCCCTGGTATAATAATAATAACAACAACAAAAATAATAATAATACAGTACTGTGGACAGACCACGTTTCCATCAGGGCAGCTCTGTTGGGGCAGCTGTGGCTCTTGCCCCAGGTAGGTTTGGACATTGGGGCAGGTATGTCCTAGGCCACATGGGGGGCCCTGTGGACCCCTCTGAGCTGCAGGCCAGTGTGGCTTCCTGACCACAGGAGGAGAGTGGTAGCAGTGGCTGGTCACATATCGAAGACCCTTGGTCCTCAGAAATCTAAGCTCAGTGTGGCTAACGGACGGGTTCTTGGGCCTCTTCCCCAGGCCCCAGCCCGAGCCCGCTGGTCAGGCTAAGGAGCGGCTTTGGGGGCAGAAGCTCTCACTGGCAGCACAGCCCCCTCTGTCCTCTTGTGAGACGTGGCCCTGTCTTCCTGGGGCTGGCCACCTGGCTGGCTGACCTTGTCCTCATGTGCCATCCTCTTGTGACACAGGCCTGCGGAGCCCACTGACTTCCTGGCGCTGTTCGAGGGAGATCCTGGTGGGAAAGGGAGGCTGGCCAGCCTGCCCAAGCCATGCAGTGGGAAGGGAGCCACCTGGAACGTCCTGGTGAGGCGGGCTGAGGCGGCGTGGGTCTTGGTCCTGCCACAGGACTGCCGTCTGCTCCTTGTGTCCTTTTGCCTTTGTCTTGGTCCGCAGGCTGTGATCCTTACACCCTGGGCACTTGGACACCTCCATTTGTGGGTGTGGCAGTGTTGGGAGGGCAAGGGCCCTGGGGTAGGGCCTTGAGGGTGTCCTGTGTGCCCCTAGGATGATCAGCCCAGGGGCTTTGGCTCGCCGGCCAGTGCCCAGAGTCCCAGCACCCTCAACTCCCCAGGGGGCCCACGGAGGAGGGAGTGTGCCCTGGCACCCAGCTTCACAGCCAATAACAGGTACCACCTCTGCAGTGTTGGTGGTGGGATCTGGCTCCTTTGGAATGAATGGCTTTCTTACTCAAGGGCAAAGGCTGCAAGGTGGGGTGGGGGGGGCTGTTGACCACTCCTTAAACAGGGGCTTGTGCTTGTCCCGCAGGCTGTAGCCGCCATGTCCCACGGGGACCCTCCAGAGTTCCCTGGAGGTTGGACTTGGTTCCTTGTGTCTCTGGTGGTGGGGACCATATGGCCTTCAGGCCCAAAGTGGCCTGCCTTGTCAGGGATGCAGTGTTCACTCTAAGGTCGCACTCTGGGGACCTGAAGGACCAGAGCACGTCCGAAGGTCATGGTCAGGGTGCTAGGAGGGTGCGGAGGAGCCCCGGAGGAAGCAGCAGGCCAGCCCCAGCCTCGGCCTCATGGGGCCTGGGGACACAGCTGTCTCCTGAGAGACAGGAAGGGCTTCTCCACTAGGTGCAGGACATGGGCCCTGGAGACTCCTGACGGTGCCACAGCAAGCACTGGCAGCCCCTCGACACCTGTACCCATGCTGGCGGTCCCAGCCGCCTGCTCCCACACTGATGCACCCTCTTTCTCTGGCAGGAGCAGCAAGGGAGCCGTGGGCAACTGCGTCACCAGCATGGTGCACAACCACTACGCCCCCATGGAGAGGGCGCCCCCACTCAAGAGCTCTAACCAGACAGCCCCCGCTCTCAAGTAAGGCTGGCACCGGCCCAGGAGGCACCAGGCCCGGGGTCTGCTCAGCAGGGCACGCGGTGCACGTGAGGGCACTGGACCGAGCAGCAGGTCCCTCACCCTCAGTGCTGTCACCCAGTCCCATCCAGGGCCAGGCCCACTTCCCAGGGACTCACACCGGGCGGGGGCCCTCCTGAGGAAGCTGCTGGCCATGTCCAGAACTGAAAGGGTGTCGCCGTGGGGTGACTGAAAGAAGCAGAGGCGCCCCCTGCGCTGCTTTGCTGAGTTGGTGGCCCTCCAGCTTTCCTGAGCCACCTAGCTGTGGACTCCTGCTGCTTCTAAGAGCTTCTTACTTTTGTAAATGTAAAGAATATCTGGCCCAATGGTACATGCCTGTAATCCCAGATGCCTATAATCTCAGCTACTTTGGAGGCTAAGGCAAGAAGATGACAGGTTTGAGGCCAGCCTGGGCAATTTAGGGAGGCCTTAAGCAATTTAGTGAGACCTTGTCTGTATAATAAAAAATAGAAGACTGGGGCTGGGGTTGTGGCTCAGAGGTAGAGCGCTTGCCTAGCATGTGTGAGGCACTGGGTTCAATCCTTGGCACCACATAAAAATAAATAAATAAAATAAAGTTGTGTCCAACTACAACTAAAAAAAATACTTTAAAAAAAAACAGAAGACTGGATGTGACCCAGTGATACAGTACCCCTGAGTTCAATCCCAATACCACTTAAAAAAATAAATGAATGTGAAGCCCATTTACTCGGGCGCAGGCTGATGGGTCTGTCATAGTACAGGTGTCCCCAGGGACTGGCCAAGTAGAGGAGGAGGGCAAACTTCTTGCCGTGCCCAGACCTCCTGCTGGCTCAGAGCCCAGGGCGGCTGGGGCTCCACTGGCGCCTGGGCAGAGCGCTCCTGGGGCAGTGAGATGGGGTTTCTCTTCTGATTAGCAACATCATCAAGGCAGCCACCAACGAGGGCAGTGAGGGTAGCAGCTTCCGGAAGCCCCACAAGAACTTCAGCACTGACCATGCGGCCCGGGGCGCCGCTGGGGGGACCACCACCAACCTACTCAGGCGGAAGGAGGTGACGGAGGAGGAGGCCGAGAGGTGAGGCTTGCAGGGAGCAGGGGCAAGGGCCTGGGGGCTTTAGGGAGCAGGGGGAAGGGCTTGGGGGGGTGGGGGGGGGAGGGGGAGGGGGCGGGGGGGGTGGGGGGAGCAGGGGCAAGGCCTGGGGTCGGAGGACTCCAGTGGGAATCTTATTCAGTAGTTATTTAAATGGCAAGTGACAGACACATGTGGTGTGGCTCATCTGCATAAAGTGCCAAGAAGAGGCAGATCCTTAGAGGCATGAAGGGAGCAGTGGCTGCCAGGATTGGGCAGAAGCTGGAGACACAGGGTGGCCGTTGCTCTTTGAGGCAGTGGGAACATTCTAGAAAAGGATTATGTTGATGGGGATTGTGCTGGTAGTTGCAGACTGTGTAAATTTGCTTAAAATCATGAAATTGTGTGCTGAAAATGGGCAGGTTTTAATAATGTGTCAGTTATTCTCAGTAGAGTTGTTTGTTAAAAGAACTTTATGGGGCTGGGTGAGGTGGTGCACACCTGTAATCCTAGCAGCTCACGAGGCTGAGGCAGGAGGATCACAAGTTTAAGGTCAGCTTCAGCAATTTAGCACGGCTATAAGCAACTTAACGAGACCCTGTCTCAAAAATAAAAAGGGTTGGGGATGTGGCTTGGTGGTTAAACACCCCTCGGTTTAATCCTTAGGATAAAAAAATTAAAAAATAAAGTTAAGGGAAGGAAGATAACGAGACTGAGAAGAGCAAGAAACCCTGTGGGGCTGCACACTTGAAGCTGCCCTTGGGGGCTGCGGGGTGGGTGTAGTGGAGCCTCTGCCTCAGGATAGTGGCCCTGGCCTCCTCACTTAGCAGCCAGACAGCTTCTGCAGACGCCTCCACCTGGCCTTGGCCTCCACCCGGCCCGCCTGCCCTGCTGCAGCTGCTCAAAGCCTCTGAGGTGTCCTTGGTGGGCGGGACTCACCGAGTCAGGGCCCTGGTGGCAGACGAGTTCTGCCCTGTGCTCTCTGTTAGTGTCTTTGCTGAGAGGATCTGCGCTTGGTCCTAAGGGTCAGGGTCAGCGTCTTCACTTGGTCAGCTGTACTGAGTGTGATCTTGAGTGATAAAAGGCTTCCCGTGGACAGATGCACACGTGGTGTCGGTGGATGCAGTGCACCACCACCAGACGGCTCCGGCACCACGGTCCCTGGAGTCCTGTCTGTCCACCCTCAGGCCCCTGCCCAGCAGTCCGGCTGTTGTGGCATGCCCTAGACAGAGCCCCTCCTCTGTGCCTGGCACCAGCGCAGGTGGTTGCTCCTTGCTGCTGAGCAGCGTCCTGTCACCTGTCACCTGAGCTCGCTCTGAAGACAGTGAAGCATGTTTGGGTTGCTTCCTGTTGGTGCCTTTCGTGCACAGACTACCCAGGTCTGTGGACAGACGGCACCCGCTCTCCTGGTGACCGGGGACGTGGCATTTGGGTGTTGGTGAGATGAGCCAGGAGGGCTGGTCCTGCCAGGTTTCGCTCGATGGCAAGGGCTGTGTGTAGCCACCAGCTTGCTCTGCCTGGCTGGGCCTCTGTTCTGCAGGCTCTTGCAGGGCCTTGGGGGCACTGGACCCCTCTCAGTCCTGACGCCTGCTCTCTGGACAGGTTTATCCACCAGGTGAACCAGGCTGCCGTCACCATCCAGCGCTGGTACCGCCACCAGGTACAGCGCCGCAAAGCAGGAGTTACAGACCTGGAGCACTTGCAGGCGGCCACGCAGGAGGTCATTGTGGGCACAGCCACCCGGGCTCCCCCTGGGTGGGTGCAGAAGCCCAAGGTCTGAACTGTGCATAGGCAGTTTCTGGGACCAGTAGAACAGAGACCTGGAACCACACAGGTCACACCTCTGTGGCCCACATTGTCCTCGAGGGGACCATGGTCAGGCCTGAGTGTCCTGCTGGTCCCAGGAGGCCTCTGCATGGGCACCTGACCCCGAGGCACAGTGCTGACTCCCCTGCTGAGCACTCTCGGGGTTGGGGGCTTGCCTCACCCTCCCTAGCTCTTCTGGCAGGGGCAGCAGCAGCTGGGCAGTGGCAACCTCCTGGACCTGCACCGGCAGAAGGAGGCGGCAAGGAAGAAGGCCCGAGAGGAGAAGGCTCGTCAGGCCAGGCAGGCGGCCATTCAGGTGCCCTTCAGCCCCCGGAGGCCAGGAAGAGCCCAGCCCCAGCCCCAGCCCCGGCACTGCTGCCTGGGTCCTCAGGCTCTGGACATGGAGCCCCAGGGCAGCTGGGCTGTGGGAGGCAAGGGGCTGGCCTCGGGCTGCTCAGAGATGCTTCCCCTGGCAGGAGCTGCGGCAGAAACGAGCCCAGCAGTCGGCCAAGGCTGAGCATGGGCTGCCCAAGGGGAGCCCAGAAACCAGAGCAGCGGGGCAGCCTCGGCCCTCCCAGGAGCCGCCCCTGACACCAGGCAGTGACGCCCGCCAGCCCCTCAAGGCCAACAACACTGGTGAGTGACCTGGAAGGCCTAGGATAGGAAGGAGGTGCAGCCTTTGCTGTCATACCCTGGCCCTCATACTGTGGCCAGGTGGGCAGCTTCTACCCACAGCCTGGGCCATGGTAACACCCACACCACCTCTGCTCCTGACCAGCTCACCTGTTTGGTTGGACTTGAGGTGCTCAGTCCTTGACAGCTGGTCCTGGACACAGGACCCACGGAGCATCGAGGCCTAGAGCCAGAGGTTACGCCAGCTCCCCAACCTCAGTCCCTGGAAGCCGGGGCCCCCCGATGCCTCTGCTCTGGGTCATACCTGCCTCCCCCTTACCTGGCTCCTTCCCAGGCTCTTCCAGGTTCAGGAACCTGCTGTGTTCTGTTGGGCAGGCACCACCGTCCACCCCACAGGCCCCAGGAACCCCTGCCTACCTGCCTCTGACTCATCCTCAGAGCACCAGCTGTCTCCGGAGGACAAGCCACAGGTCTGGACACAGCCCACCCTTCCCTCCCTCCTGGACTTTAGTTTTGAGGGGCATGTCCATGCCAGGAGTGGCCTGAGCCGACCTTTTCCCTGCCCCTCCTCAGCCGGGTTCCCCTGAAAGGCTTCCCAGGGCTCCTGTTCTGATGCAGAGTGGCAGGCTGGGGGGCCCTGGCTGGGTGCAGTCTCAGAACTGCTCTGGAACCCTGTAAGGTTTTCACACTGGGCCTGGGTAGGGCCTTGTGTCCCTGTCCACAGAAGACGAGCTTGAAGGTCAGAGGTGTCAGGGGACAGCGAGGCCACCAGGCTGCTCAGTGATGTAGCTGAATGGCTGAGCCTGTCTGTCTGTTCTCCTGGGGGAGGGTTGCCACTGGTGGAGATGCTTTCAACCTGTAGGGTGGGCTTGAGGAGCCACAGGACGTGGGCAGCAGAGGCCCCACCCAGCACCACTGGGGTCCGCCTTGGGCACGAGTATTCTCTTGGGCACCAGTGGCCTTGGTGGCTGCGTCCCCCCTGCCTGTCTACTGTAAGGCATCCTGTCCCAGGACATGGCCAGTGAGGACGTGGAGATGGTGGGCCCCACCAGGAGCAGGGTCAAGTCCAGGGAAACCCTGGACGAGCTGCTGGACACGCTGAGGCTGCTGGAGGAGGATCCCGAACCACTGTCCCATCCCAGGGTCTATCACAAGGACAGACATGCTTGGATGGATGAGGTGACTCAGCCACACGATCCCTCGCCCCAGCCCGTGCTGCCACCATCCTCACAGGCCCAGAGGCCAGGGGAAGCGGGGTTCCCCAGCTCCTGGCTGCAGTTGAGACCCTAACAAGCCAGCTAGATCTCACCGACCCACTCTCCCCTCCCGTGCAGGGACCGTGGGGTGGGACACAGACCCTCCGGGTGGGCGCCACCCAGCTGCCTCCCGCCTCCCACTCTTGCTGCCTCTGCTCCCCCAGCAAAGCACCCAGCCCCGGGGACCCCGAGTGCTCGGGCCACCCCAGCAGCACCCATTGCTGGCCCCACCCCACAGGACAGTGCCAGCTCCCTGACGGCTGACAACCTGGAGAGGTGGGGGAAACTCGGTGCACCCTGCAGCACCCCTGAGGAGCGGGCGCTGCTGTCTGAGGCGAAGCTGCGGGGCGTCAGGAGCTTCCTGGACGAGATGGAGAGGTCGCGCCAGGGCCAGCCCGCCAGGCAGCAGGAGGTGGGCACCTGTCAGGCCCCTGCGGCAGCCCAGCCCACTCTGCTCTGGGGGTCGCACCTGCCTCCCCCTTACCTGAGGCCACCAGGCTGCTCAGCGATGTGGCTGAGTGGCCCAGGCGGGGGACTGGCAGGACCGACTGTCCCATGCGGATTCCTCTCTGGGTGAGCCTCTCGAGCATCCTCCCTATGCCTTGCCCAGGGAGCTGTCCTGGCACCCTGGGCCCTGGTGTCCCCTGGTGAACACCAGTGGCCAGGCTGAGTGGAGTGGTGGCAAACGGCAGGAAGGTCAGAAGTGACTGTGACCCGGGCACTGCCTTCTTCCCAAGGCACTCTGTGCCTTCCGCACGGCCACCAGTGCCCAGCCCTGGGTCTCTGGCTGGACTGGTGCCAGAGTGCTCTTCAGTGGCTGTGTAGGGACTGAGGTCACAGCCCTCATTGCCCTGTACCCAACAATAGAAGCCTTCTGGGGGAGCTCTCCCATCACCCTCAGGTGCCTGCACCTTGCTGCTCCTTCCCCTGAGGGTGGAGTGGAGGGGACATGGAGGTCCCCCGGAACATGGGCAGGCAAGGCACCTTGCACATCCCTGCCGCCTCCTGGTCATCCACCCAGTGAGCGGTGGGTGGTGGCCCACCTGTCTGACGCTTGGCCACGTCTGCAGGGGCTGGCACCAGACGTGGGGCGGGGGCACCCAGAGCTGGCATCCGAGGGGCGCGTGTCTGTGACGCGGCTGGAGCTGGAGGAGCAGAAGCAGGCTGTGGTGCTGCTGCAGAGGGCACTGGTGAGGCCCTTAGCATGTCACCCAGGGCTGCCAGCTGGGCCACAGGCCCCCATAGCACCTCGCTGAGAGCCCTGGGCACTGCCTTCTTCCCAAGGCACTCTGTGCCTTCCGCACGGCCACCAGTGCCCAGCCCTGGGTCTCTGGCTGGACTGGTGCCAGAACCTCCTTCCTGCCCACACCCCCCACAGGCACAGCAACGCGACCTCACGGTCCGGCGGGTCAAAGAGACAGAAAAGGAGCTGAGGCGGCAGCTTCGGCAACAGAAAGAGCACTATGAGGCCACCATCCAGCGGCACCTGTCCTTCATTGACCAGGTGATGCCCTCCCAGGGGACCAGGAAGATGGATGAGGCCAGAGGGTCAGAATCAGGCTTACAGAGCAAGGGGCTGGCCGCAGGTGGAGCTGGCCTGAGGTCCACATAGCCCGCTGTGTCCTGCCCAGTGTGGTGGGCTGCCGGGACAGCGGGCAGAGATAACCAGGCGTGCCTTGGAGGAGCCAGGCGTTCCAGAGCTAGCTGACTGCTGGCCCAACAGGGAGGTGTCCTGGACAAAGTTCAAAATTTTCTGTGCCATGCCTGGGCCATCCGATCCCTGGAGGGCCACCCCTGGTCTGTCGGGGCTTCTGGGACAGCCAGAGTACCCCCAGTGAGAGCAGCAGAAGCTTCCGGGTTGCCCCTCAGCCACATCCCTGGCCAGATCTGGAGAGATCTCTAGGCCTGGGGTTGGAAAGATGGTGGTCACTACTGGGTGGTTGACATCAGTGTGCCCAGGTCGAGAGTCGGGCTCTCAGTGAGGCTGGTGTGCTTTCAGGAGGCTTCATGGACACCCCTTGGCACCAGCCTGCAGGCCCTCCTGCAGGCAAGGTGCCACCCTCATCCCAGGAGGGTCCTCAGCGAGGCTGGGCTGGTCCCCACTGGGGCTTCTCTGACATCCACCATGTCCTCCAGGTCGAGTACCCAGAGGGGCAGCCGCCCCGTGTCCACATGCATACACGGTCCTGCATGGATAGGGTGGCCCTGGGAGACAGGCCTCCTGCTGGGGTGGGGACCTTAGTGCAGAGCCTTACCCCCGCCTCACAGCTGATCGAAGACAAGAAGGTCCTGAACGAGAAGTGTGAGGCGGTGGTGGCCGAGCTGAAGCAGGGCGACCAGCGGTGTCGAGAGCGCATGGCCCAGATGCAGGAGCAGCACCAGCTGGTGAGCAGCCTGGGGGCCTGGCCGAGCCGCTCCGCGGGCAGCGGACCCCAGAGCAGGGCAGGGCTGGAGGAGGGTCTCCCTAGTCGGGGGCCCTGAGGATGTGGTCCAGACAGGAGGGCTGTTCCTCGCACCAAGCTGCGTCTTCCCCTGGCTGCTTCCATGTTTCCACCCAGATCCAGACATGGTGCCGGCCTGGCCCTTCCCATGGGCAGTGGCCCTGGACTCGGGAGGCCAAGCCCAGCCTGGGTGCCCGAGCAGCTCAGGCCCAGGACCGCTCCTGGCGTCTTCCTGCTTGGCTGCCAGGAGTGAGAGGCCGCCTCAGTGTGCTTCCCATCTGGATGCCAAGTCCCTGAGCCCACCCCAGACCAGAGCCCAGATTCTGAGTGAGGGTGGCACCAGCGTTGCCAGAGGCCCCTGGAGTCCATGGCGACAGCCAGTGTTGAGGACCACCGGCCACCGGGGAGAGCAGGGCCTCTGCAGTTGGAAGGCTGCTGCCCTGCTCAGGACACAGGTGTGGCAGAGGGGCAGATGTCATTTGCATCTTCTCTTTCCACTTCCCATGTCCATGTTTTTAGGAGATCAAGAAACTCAAAGAACTAATGAGTGCAACAGAGAAAGTCCGCAGGGAGAAGTGGATCAACGAGAAAACCAAGAAGATCAAGGAGATCACCGTCAGAGGTGGGCCACTCCAGCACTGATTTGGGTGCTCTTGAAGGGAAGAGTGGCTGCAGTCCCCAACAGGAGGGACTCACACCAGACCTCCCAGAGCAGGCACAGTGCTGAGGGGCAGCCGCCCTGGGGTGGCAGGGGCAGGCCCACACCAGTGGGCCATCAGAGACTAGAACTCGGGCAGCGCCCACCTTCCCTGGGGTGGGCTTGGAGAAGTCGGGTTAGTGGGCACCAACAGGAGGCCACACTGGGAAGCAGCAGGGAGCAGGAGGCTGGGAGGCGGGCTCCAGGGTGCTGTCGGAGGGAGCCCAGGCCCTCAGGTGGCTCGTGGGGCTCTCCTGGCCTGGCTCTTGACCCAGAACCCTGGCTCCAGGGTCCTGGACACCCATGCTAAGAGGCCTGATGGTTAGGGCAGGCGGGCACCTGCCCAGGCTGGACGGGCCCTGGAGTCCCCTTCAGCTGCTACAGAGTGACTGCCCCAGGAGCAGGGACCAGGGGCAGCACTGCCCCTTCCCTGCAGCACTTCAGGCACAACTGCACTCTGAGGTTGGCGCCCTGGAGGGGTGGTGTGGGCGGGGACTCCCTGCAGCTGCTGTCCTGCCCCCAGGCCTGGAGCCCGAGATCCAGAAGCTCATCGCCAAGCACAAGCAGGAGCTGAGGCGGCTCCGGGGCCTGCACGAGGCTGAGCTGCTGCAGCGGGACGAGCAGGCCGCCCAGCGCTACCTGCGCCAGGCCGAGGACCTGCGGGAGCACCTGGAGCGGGAGAAGGAGGCACTGGGCCAGCAGGAGCGCGAGCGAGCCCAGCGGCGGTGGGCATTCGCACATCCTGGCGGCCAGGCCAGGGGCCTGGGGGGGGGGGGCATGCCCAGACCCTCATCCGAAGCAGGGCATTTCCTCTCTAAACCCTGAGGGTGTGTCCTGAAGGCCTGGGTCTGGGGGTCTTGGGCGGGGAGGGGCCCAGGGTCTTGGTGCAGCTGCCCAGGAGGGCACAGGAAACTGTGGCCCCAGAACAGCAGTCCTGCCCATCTCGGCACCGGCCAGTAGCTCCTTTGTGCTTGCGGGTGCAGCCCCTGCACCAGCCAGCACGTCCCTCCCGTGAAGCTAGGGTTGGGACTTAGGAGGTGTGCAGACCCCCACAGCTGGCCCAGAACTTTCAGCCCCAGACAGGTGACTCCAGGGCCCCTCTGGTGCCCAGAGCAGCCTCTTGCCCTCATCTCCTTGGCCCTGTGGGGGTGGAGGGTGTCACTGGTTAGAGGTGTGACCAGGCTGGGTGGGCCCTCAGACCCTAGGGACCTGAAGGCTGGGGGACATGCTGGCAATGGCCAGTATATGCAAGCAGCTCCTTTTGTATGGCTGGCCCTTCAAAACACAGCTGGCCAGACCCACAGCCCTGTCTCAGGTGGGGTGAGGACACAGGCCGACGGCAGCCTGCTCCCACCGTGGACCCTGCCCCTGGCCCCCCACACAGGAAGCAGAGCTGGCAGGGAGAGGCCCTCCTCGCCTGCGGGGCCAAGCAGGATGCGGTCGGTGAGGACAGACAGGAATAGGAGATAGTAGGTGGCCGAGCCACGAGGCCATTTCACGAGCCACCACAGGAGCCTCAGCTCAGAGTCATGGTGGACTTGTGGCCTGGCTTTGCTGACCTGGGCAGTGGCTCTGACAGGCATCCAGTGTCACTGGAAGGATGCTCTGAGGACTGATGTTTGTGGCCTGTGGCTGCCCCTGCCCTGCCGCACGAGTGTCCTGGGACCTGTCCTGGGACTGCGTGACCTGCCAGGTGAGCCAGCCTCGCCCTCCCGCAGGTTTGAGCAGCACCTGGAGCAGGAACAGTGGGCCCTGGAGCAGCAGCGGCGGCGGCTGTACGGCGAGGTGGCCGAGGAGAGGGAGCGCCTGAGCCAGCAGGCAGCCAGGTGCCGCCAGGGGCTGCCGACCCCCCTCACAGTGAACCCCTCACCCACCCATAGACTGCTCACGTGGTGACCCTCGGTGCCCTGTGCCCACTGACGCCTGGCCTGGCCTGCAGGCAGCGGGCAGAGCTGGAGGAGCTGAGACAGCAGCTAGAGGACAGCAGCTCAGCGCTGACCCGAGCCCTGAGGACTGAGTTCGAGAAGGGTCAAGAGGAGCAGGAGCGTCGGCACCAGGTCCCCTCCCCCGTGCCGAGCCTGGCATCCCGTAGGGCAGGGGCCTGGGCTAGGCTCTGGGCGGACAGGGCTGGCTGGTGGCTCTCATGCCCTGTTCCCCTCCAGGTGGAGCTGAAGGCTCTGAAGGACCAGCTGGAGGTGGAGAGGCAGGCATGGACGGCCAGCTGTGCCAAGAAAGAGGTGGGAGGGCAGGGCAGCACCAGGCCTCCGGGGCTCTTCCAGTGCCGCACAGGGCTCCGTGGGGCTCTCCTGACTCGGCTTGCAGGCTGCTCTCGTCCATCCTGTGGCCACAGGAAAGCCAGGAGTTGGCAGCAAGAGGACAAGGCCTGGTCAGGGCATCTTGTCCTCCATGCCCAGCAGCTGCCAGCCCGTGCCCCTCCGTCAACTGCTTGCCCGCCTGTGGGGGCCGCCCTCCTTGGCCTCTGGTGTTTCCTTCTGGGAATTTCCAAATAGCTTCCAGGAACTGGCCCCATTCACACTCTCACAGCCCCACTTAGCAGTATGGCCAGTTCCTTCTTTGTCCCCAGCCTGTCTGGTGGCAGAGTGGTCTCCAAGGAGAGGACTCGCCTGTTGGCCGCCTTATCCAAGGGCTCCAGCACCTGGGGAACTAGGGCAGGGCAAGCCCTCTCTGCCCGATGAATGTGTCCGTGCCCCCGTTGGTCAAAGAAGGGAGCCCCCGGGAGCCTGCCCTGTGCCCCTCCACCTCCCTTGTCCTGCGCCCTCCCAGTGGTTCCCCAGCCAGCTGCCTGGCCCCGCAGGAAGCGTGGCAGCTGAACCGGGAACGGGAGCTCAAGGAGGAAATCCGGAAAGACCGCGACCAGGAGATCGAGCTGGTTATCCACCGGCTGGAGGCTGACATGACCCTGGCCAAGGAGGAGAGTGACAGGGCCATGGAGAGCCGGTGAGGCCTCAGCGCGGGAGCCAGCCAGGGGCTGGTGCTGGGCTGCCCTGGCCGCTGGGGTGAGGGGAGGGCAGGAGTTTGTCCCGGCCCCTCTGCCAGCTGCACCCTGCCCACCCACCAGCATCAAGCGTGTGCGGGACCAGTATGAGGCTGAGCTCTCGGAGCTGGAGCAGGCCCAGCGGAAGCTGCAGGATCGGTGCTCGGAGCTGAGGGGGCGCCTTGGGGAGGCCGAGGGGGCGGAGGAGCGCCTGCAGGCCCTGTTGCGGCAGAGGGAGAAGGAGCTGGATGACCTGCGGGCAGTGAGTGTCCCCCGCCCCTCCCAGGTCCAGAGCCCACCACCGTGGGAGCCCTGTTCACCACCTTCCCTGCCTCCAGGTCAACTCGGAGCTGTCCAGGGAGCGAGGCAGCCTGGTCGAGGTGGTCCGCCAGGAGTTTGCTGACCGGCTGGCGGCCTCTGAGGAGGAGAACCAGCGGGTCAAGGCCGAGCTGGCTGAGCTGCAGGCCCGCCAACAGCTGGAGCTGGATGAGGTGCACCAGAGGTGGGTAGCCAGGTGGCAGGGGCCGGAGGCCGAGGGCAGGGCAGATGAGGAGGGTGAGCAAGGTGAAGGCCTCCGGGGTGCAGGCCGCCTGTGGGCGGGGGCTGGTACGTGGTCCAGGTCCGAGTCCAGGAAGCCTGGACCAGTACCCCAGTGGCACTGAGTCCGGGGGCATCTGGTGCCTGGCCTCACCAGGAGCACCTGAGCAGGTTGCTTCGAGCTGGGGCTCAGAGTGTGCTTCTCCAGGGGGCACCCCAGGGCCTCCTGAGGGCTGCAGGCCTGGGTAGGGCAGCTGATACACAGAGAGGGGAAGCTGCAGGGGCAACAGTGAGCCCCCAGGGACCTCATGGTCCTCCTGCCACCTGCCCACACTTGCCATGGCCCTGAGGGGTGGGTATGAGAAGTTCACACCTGTCCTGGCACAGCCCCTGGCCCGTGCTGCTCCAGGCACGCTCTCTGGGTTCTGACCCCCGTGAAGGCAGCTTCTCTGGGCCCAGGCCAGCCTTGGAGCTGTGGCCGCTGGGCTGGGCAGGCTGGCTGCCCCTGAAGGCTGGCCGAGGGGGTGCTGTGCAGAATCCCACTGTGGGCCTCTGCAGGGTGAAGACAGCCCTCGCCAGGAAGGAGAAGGCCGTGAGCAGCCTCCGGAGACAGCATGAGGTGGGTCCCAGGGTCCCTGTGCTGGTCCTGCCTGAGGTTGGGGCAGCCCACGGCTGACTCTGGTGCCTGTCATAGGCTGCCATGAAGCGGGCTGATCATCTGGAGGAGCTGCTGGAGCAGCACAGGCGGCCGCCCCTGAGTGCCAAGTGACGCCACCTGCAGGACGGAGGCAGGCCGGAGACGAGGAGGGATGCGATACGGAGTCCCGCTGCCGTGCCGGGCCCTGGGGCGCATGCTGGCCAAGGTGTGGCCTGCTGCCCTGCTCGTGAGCCCTGTGCTCAGGACACCCCGTCTGTGGCTGTATTTTTTACAGTAAAAGAGGTGGTTTTTTTTTTTTAAGAGTCCTGTGTCACCTGCCTTATGTTTCTCTCCTGGGCTGGAGGACACCGCAGAGCTCAGGCCTGGCTCCATCCCTCTCCTGCCTCCCCATCTCCCTCCTTTGGGCTGTTCAGACTGACCAGGAAATGGCAGGTGGCTAGCAGCCCTTCTGCTCTCAACGCCCCTGCCACTCCCATCTGTTCTCTGCCTTGCCCTGTGGCCCTGAGACTCAGCTCTGGTGCCCAACTTGGAGAATGGCCCTCTGTCCCCACCTGGCCCATAGGAGGCTCCACGCAGTCTGTGGGTGCCTGAAGCCCCTGGGCTGCTGTTGTGTCCCCCGTGACTGGAAAGACTCCAGGGGAGCAGGTGGCCCTCCTAGGAGACCGCCCCCTACTGAGGCGTGACTGCCGGGAGCCCTCTGGAAACGGGGACTAGACAGGCACCCCGAGGAGGGCGGGCACTGCCAGACCCTCCCTCTGCAGCCTCTGCACTTGGCACTTTAGCTCAGAATCTGCGAGTGCCCTTCACCTTGCGGGTTGTCGGCACAGACGGGTGGAGGCTGCAGCCTCGTGGACAGGAGAGCCCTGGAGCGCTTGCAGGGAGGTGAGGGCCTACTCAGCAGGCGTGTTATCCTGGATCGGGCTTCCGTGTTGGGATGCTGCCCAGCAGCCCCAGGGGGCCTTCACCCCAGGCCTCTCTCCTCGCCTGCAAGTGGTGTGCAGACCCCAGGAGGCTTCCTGTGCATGTGGTTCTGCTGCTGTGTCTGGGACGGCTCTGAGGGTCTCCCCCCATGAGGGCCCGACCAGCCCCATGCCCCCCTGCCCTGTACCACCTTGCACCCGAGTCACCATCCTGTTCACTGCTGGACATAAGCCATGTCTGCTCCTTGTCTAGCCCCCTCCCAGAGAAGAACTCAACTGGTCCCTGGTCTCAGGCTAGGCCAAGAGGCTGTCGATGGCTCCCCTACACGGCAGAGGGTGAAGGCTGCTGGGCCTCTCTGCTCACCATCTGCAGGACAGGGTTGCTGACCAGAAGGAGAAGCCCAAGCCTTTGGGTGAGGCTGGGGAAATGCCCCTGACCAGGACACAACCTGGAGGCAGATATGAATTTGGGAGAGAGTGCATGTTGTCAGGAAGGCCTGGACTCCTGGAGAATGAGGGTGGACAGGGCTCAGAGGGGAGTCCATAGCCCTTGGGTCCCTCTGGCAGCCTGTAGCACTCGGGAGTTCCACAGGAGGTTTCCTGGGGTCTCAGGGGCAGCTGTGCTCTGGGGGGCATCTGTTAGTCCTCAGCCTCCTGCCTGGGCCTTCCACCTCCTCCTACTGCAGGTGTGGACCAGAGGTCAGGGCAGGGGCAGCCGGATGTCACCCAGCAGGACGTAATCCTGTGGAGCTCCTGTGGGAAGGGAGGATCTGACCATGGGGGGGTCCCTAAAGTGATAGGGTGCCTGAGTAGAAGGGTCTCTGAGTCGAGGTGGAGGAGCCCAGACTCCCTACCATCTTCAGGGCCGTGTTCTGTCCCTGGACTGCAGAGTGGTGGGGTAAGGTCTGGTCCCTCGGTGAGGAGGAGAGCTCCCACAGCAGGAGGTCAGGTTTTAGGTGTTCTCTTTATTTTATTTTTGGTGCTGGGATTGAACCCAGGGCCTTGTGCATGTGAGGCAGGCACTCTACCAGCTGAGCTATATCCCCAGCCCTAGGAGGTCAGGTTTTAGAGCCTCAAGTGGACTCTGCCTAGGGAGTCCCCCCGCCCACCTTGCTGCCCTTGTGGGTTTCATGTTCCCCACAGAGCCTGCGTCTGAGCCACATTCCTTCTGAGAGAGGCCACACCATCAGCAGCCATCTCTGTGCCCGACTTAGACCTTGCGGTGCAGACCCGAGCAGACACTGTACCTTCCGGGGCCCACAGGCTAGCGGGGGTAATGGGCAGAAAGCCAGGGACTTACCATTTCAGAATTCCTGCCCTTTATTTCCTTCCCTCTCTTTTCTTTAACTTTAATTTTCTGTTCTTTTTTCTAAGTTCTTGGGGAGGATACTTAGATCATTGATTACCAGCCCCTTTTCCTTTCAAATCAATGCATTTAAGACTCTGAATTTCCCTCAGATCACAACTTGAGCTGTACCCACAAGGTTTGGTATGTTATGTTTTTGTTAATGTTAGGTTTGATTTTCTTATTTCTGTGGTGGTCTCTTTGAATCACAGGCTGTTTGGAACTGTGTTGTTTTTCTTTAACTTTTGTTTTTGATTTCTAACTCATCTTCCCAGAGGACCTGTCCCATGTTATTCCAGCCCTTTCACTTGGTCGAGATATGCTTTAAGGCCTGGCTGTTGGTCAACTTTGGCAGACGTTATATCTGTATATTTAAAGAAGAACGTGCGTTCTGCATTAGGGGGCTGCCGAGAACTGGCTACATCCAAGAGCCAGCCCTTCGTATTTCCCGAGCCCTCTGTAGGCTGACTGCTTCCTTTGGCTCTCGGTCTCTTGGTCCCTGGGGTCGAGTGCTAAGGTCTCTCACCGTATTTGTGCATCAACTCTGTCTCATTCTGGTGTGTTCATTTTTCCCGTTGTGCATCTGGAGGCTGGACGTTCAGAACCATGGTGATTCACTGACAGTGGCCCTTTATCGTGAGTCCTTCCTCTTTGACCCTAGAAGTGCTTCTTGCCTTAAAGTCTCCTTCATCTGGTAGTAAAGCTTTCTCTCCTTGGTACCTGCATGTGTCTCTCTTTTTAAATTTTTTAAAAGTACTTTTATACCTCTGTTTTATTTATTTTTGGGTGGTGCTGAGGATGGAATCCGGTGCCTCACATGTGCCAGACCAGCGCTCTGCCCCAGCCCCAGCCCCGCGTGGTGTCTCTTTGCCCTCTTTTTACTTCCAACCTTTCTGTGGCCTTAGCGTTAAGGCCACTCCCAGGCGATAAGCACACCAGGTCTGGCTGTGAGTTGCTGACCCACTTTTGCTCTGGTGGGCAGGCGGGGAGGAGGGGGCCGAGGGGCCAGGTCTGTGGGGCCGGCTGGGTTCACTGTGTCCTGGCTCCTCCTGGGGACCCCGCTGGAGCTGCCATGTGGGCACCTCCTCCCTGGCAGATCCTGAACACCCAGGAGGCTGCTCAGCCCTTAAGCAGTGTCACTGGCTGGACCGTGCCTGCCAGGGGAGCCTGTGCCCCTCACGCTCACCTCCGGGGGCGCTCTCTTTCTGGGATCTCATACCCCATGTCTTTGATGCTTTGTTTGCTCATAAAAGAAAACATGATACACCTGTGAAGGTCATAGTGTATTGGAGGATGGGAGGGGCTGTGGGGAAGACCGGGTCAAGGGGAGCGTGAGATTCTGGGGGTGAGTGAAAGGCAGAACGGTGGGTAGGGACCTCACTGGGACGTGACATTTGAGGAAAACACTGAAGGAGAAGAGGGCGTTTGTCATGCAGCTGAGGAGCATGCCAGGCTGGGGGAACAGCCGTGGAAAGGCCCTGGGACAGGGTGTTCCTGGTGGGGCACTGGACGAGGCCACCTGCTCTCAGGAGTGCACTGAGGTAAGCCACTCTCCACACCGGATGATAGGCCAGGAGGGGGCCAGGGACAGCATAGAAATGGTGCTCACACTGAAAGAGGGTGGGCCAGTGTGGGCAGGGCAAAGACCAAGACGGGCCCCATGTCCCACCAGAGAGCTCGGGAGAGCTGGAGTCCTGGAGGATGGAGCACAAGGAGTGACAGGGAGAGCCAGCCCAAAGTCGAGCGAGGCCAGGAGAGGCGGCCACCTGTGCGCTCTGGCCCTGGGGGCAGCCAAGGACACCTGCAGAGCACTCTGGGCCTCACTCGCCCTGGGCTGCAGGAATCCCCACACATGTCCACACATCTGCTGTGTGAGCTGGGGGTGTGGGGCCAGGTGGCCACAGGACAGACCCAGGGCCCACAGGAGGGGGCCCTTCAGGGTTCTGGGTCCAAGAAGCACCAGGCTAAGAGAGAGGGCAGACCCAGGCAGCCCAGGGCTGGGGGGACCTCCCTCCCAGTGCCCCCAACGAGGTGAGACCAGGGGAGGGGAGGCCTGGACACCTGCCCGCCCATCTGCCCATTCCCCACCAGCCCCCAGCGCGTTCCGGCGGCTCCCAGGCGCAGGGAGGCGTTCACAGACACACAGGCAGCGGCACCGCATTTGTTTAGAGCTCTGTTTCTTCCACTTTCCTGGAACAGGCTGTGTCTACCCTTGGTCTCCTCCCTGAATGTCCACTGGGGCACATGCTCACCCCACACAGCCCTGCAGGGACCTCTTGCTGGTCCAGGGCCGGTCAGGGTATTACTTCTTCTTTGGAGTCTTCTCCTTCTTGATTAATTCAGAAAATTCTAGGGCAGGAAATCCATACCTAGTAAACACGTCTGCTTTCTGACAGCCTAGGCTGCTGGCCCCTGAGGGGGCAGGCTGCTGGCCCCCAGACGGCCCAGGCTGCTGGCCCCCTGGTGGCCTCAGCAGTGGTGAGGCTTGCCCCTTTCTGAGGGCCCACAGTCTGGAGGATCTGACGTCCCAGCCTGCCTGAGCCCTGGTGTGAGCTGGAAGACCAGTGAGTGGACCCTCCCTGAGCTCAAATGACCTGGGTCCGCCGAGACCCTCAGAGATTCCTGCCTGACCCTTCTGAGCAGGTGCCCTGTGATCAACCCGCCTTTCTCAGTGGGGAAACTGAGGCTGGGGGCCTGAGTCCTGCACAGCCCCTTGGCCAGCCATCCTGTTTTATGCCTGTGGCACAGGTGGGTAGGGATGGGCGCACACCTGGACAGTGGTGTCTGGGGCCCTGGGCCGGTTGGCTCTTTCCTGGTGGCCACTTTGCCTGCCCTCTGCCCCAGTATCATGACAGCGAGTGGTGGCCAGAAGTCTAGGGCAGCCAGAGCCACAGGCAGCCTGAGCCCTGCCGCTTCCCTGGGCACAGCCCCACCCATACTGTCTCTGCCCAGCCAGCCTTCCCAAGCCCACCCAGCACCCATCTCTGCTCAGTGAGACACCCACCCACTCAGCAACCCCCAGACTGGTTCCCCACATTGAGTTGGGGTGCTGAGAGATCTGGGGTGGGGCGGCCACTCAATGCTATGCCTGGATAGTGCGTGTCCAGCACTGGCCAGGGCCTTACTGTGGGGCCAGGTGGTCACATGGGGTGGGGCACTGGAGGAGTCCCTGGGGCCCCATCTGGCTGCCCCCACCTTCGTAGTCGATCCTTCCGTCCCCATCTGTGTCAGCTGCCTGGATCATGGCCTCGGCCTCCTCATCCGTCAGGGGGGCAGTGGGCATGTTACTGGGGATGGTGGTCAGGAGGTACCTGGGCCGAAGGGGGCTCAGGTCAGGGCCAGGAGTGCCTGACCGTCGCAGCTGCCCGTCCCCACTTCACAGGTGGGGAAACCAAGGCCCTGGATGGATGCCTCAGGCCCAGAGTCCCCCACCCTCTGGGTTTGGGTCCAGCACTGACACTGTGGCCCTGGCCAGTGGGGCTCCAGGGGGCGTGTCAAGTCTGCTGGGTGCATGGGGGCACCAGCTGTGGCTGGCCAGGGACACCAACACCCTTCCCAGCCCCTGCCGTTCGTTACTTGATCTCATTCCACTCAATGAAGCCGCTCTTGTCCTTGTCCAGGGTCTGGAAGGCCTTGCGGATGGCGCTCTCCAACTGTCCCGAGGTCTGGAACTTGCGCATGTACTCAAAGAACTTGAGGTAGTTGAAGGACCCTGGAGCCAACCGGGCTGGCATCAGAAGGGCCAGCTGTGCACAGGGCTGGGCAGGTCAGTGGACCCAGAGATGGGGTCATCCAGGTCCACTTCCTTTCTTCCCTGCCCACAAGGTCATAGTCCTGAGTCCCTCAGTCCCAGGGACACAAATCAGATGTCCCCTGCTAAGCCTGGACCCAGGGACAGGGGCAGCCATGTCCCATTCCCCCTTCCCAGGCTGGGGCCGGGCCCCCAGAGCTGGCTATACCGTGGTGCCTCATGTCTGAGGGCAGAAGCTCTATGTCCTTGTCTGATAGGGATGTGCCCATGGCCAGGGCCATCTTCTTCATCTGGGAGGAGAAGTCCTCGTCCATCCTGTCCTGGGGTGGGCAGAGAACAGCCTCTTGGTACGTCCCTGCCCAGGTGTGCACCGCCCACCTGGGCAGCAAACATCATGACTTTGACATGTGGGGTGGCCCCAGGCTTAGAAGTGGGGCAGCAGGTGGAGGGGTTTCCATGCCTCAGTTTCCCCACTGAGAAAGGCAGGGTAATCCTGGGGCACCTGCTCACGGGGGCAGCCCCTGAGCCTGGGTGGCCAAGGAGGTGCCGGCGTCACTGTCCGCACTTTACAGGGCGGCTGGGCAGCTGTGCCCCTCATGGCAGAGCCTCACGACCTGTGGGCTCTCAGGTTCTTTCCCTGGGGGGTGTTGGGTTCCAGGATGAGTAGGAACAGCTATTTCAGAGTCCAGGGCTGCGGGCTAGCAGGTGTCCAAGGCCCCTGAGCCCTCCAGAAAGTTCACAGGGTGATGGAGACATCTAGAACACATGGCCCCACCAGGAGGGGCAGTGTGCACTCATGGCCCTGCCGGGGGCTGGGCAGTGGCTAGAGGCCTCTCTCCTCTCCTCCTGATAGGTCAAAGGTTGCAGCCCCACCCTGGGGCCTGGACATGGGGAGCACTGGATGCAGCCCCAAGACGGGATCCTGCTTCCTGCCTGGGGTGGCTCCCCTGGGGCAGCCCCTGTCTTCTAGCAGGAGGGAAGGGGATGGTGGGGCCCGGGCTTTTGCACGTTCGATGGGCTTAGAGCTGCATGCCCCGTCGTCACCTCAGTGGCTAACTCCTGCAGCACAGCAGAGACCCTACCACCCCGGGACCGGGCCTGGTCCCTGACTCCCCTCCCCGGGCATCTCAGGGTCCGTTCTGGAAGAGGAGAAGACGGTCTGCCCACTTGGGGTCCTGCTGGGGGACCTGCCACCTGCTTCCATCAGGAAGGGGCCCAGCCAAATTCTAGGCCGGGCCCGGCCCGGCCAGAAGGCGACCTCCTGTCCAGAGTCTGTACTCGTCACCAGCCCCCTTCCCACCTGGCTGGTGTCAGGTCCCCACCAGCATGCTGGGGCCGGGGCCGGGGAGGCAGGGCCTTGGCCTCTTGTTTATTTATAGCTCCTGCGTCCAGACCTGGGATGGGGTTTGACCAGTCCCCAGAGAAAGGCCCCGATGTCCAGCCTGATGGGGCTGCAAGGCCCAGGTGAGCAGGCCCCGCGCTCCTCTCAGCGCCTAGAGAAGTCCTCAGGCCTCCTTTACCCTCTCATCTCCCGGCCTCCACCACCAGGCTGACTGAGCTCCGAGGCCTGCCAGTGGCCGTGTCCCCAGTACTGCCATCAGCTGGGCCTTTGTGCCCAACCACTCCACACCACCCACATGGCCTTCCCTGGGAGCGGGGGCTGCCCCAGCACCCAACCTCTGCCAAGGACTTCAGACGCGACGGTGAGAGGACTCACTGGTGGCCAGGAGATGATGGGCACAGGGGATCCACGGATGGGGCTAGGTGAGGGGCCAGAGCCAGCTCAGGGCTCCTGGGTCAGGAGGCCCTGGAGCCACTGCCCTGTGCACCCCAGGGCCCAAGGGTGGTGGCCGTCAGCCCCTGTGCAGTCCTGGCTCACGGCCACCCCCCGTGGGCACACGTGCGGACCCGGGCCGCCCCCCGTGGGCGCATGCGCGGACCCAGGCCCACTTGGCTGCCTTTGGAGCAGAACTCCCTTGGGGCCAGTGGGGGCGGCTGGCAGAAGAGCTGCCCCTCTCCTTCCTCCTCCTTTCCCTGTCTCCCCTGGACTTTGCTAAGTTCCTTCCAGATCCCAGGGCACCTCTTTGTCCTGAGTATAAAGACAAGCCCCAAGCTCCTGCTGTCCAGCTTGGGCAACTCTAGTCGGGCCTAGTGCCCCGAGCTTCCCAGCCCGGACAGCTTACCGCCTGGCTTTCCTCGGGGCTCTTGGGAGGCAGTCAGGCCGGGTGTTAGAGGACTATGGGGACGCCAGGCTTTATACCTGGGAGCGCCCGGCTTGTTTACATCTTGTGACTGCAGCTGTCCTCCACCCCTCCCGGGTACTCCAGCCTGGCACTGGCTGCCCCAAGGGGCTTGCTGGCACTTGGCTAGCCTGTCCAGACTGGGCAGTACCTGGCCTTAACGGGCACGGCGTGGGGATGGGGAGGGGCAGGCAGATGGTGCAGGGCCAAGGGTCTTGCCCAAGGTCACAGGATGGAGCCAAGACCTGGAGCCTCCGCCACACGTGGAGACCCAGGTCCTGACGGCCCTGGACACTGGAGCGCTGGGCCGTGAAGCTCGAAAGATGAGGCCGTGGCCATTGCCTGGCATCTGTGGGCTGGTGGGACCCTGGAGAGGTGGTGCTGTGGCATGTTGGGGACCTGAGCCAGGGCGAAAGCTCACAGTTCAGCAGCTGGGGAGCCTCCAGATGACACAGGACAGACCTCCTCCCAGGTCACAGTGTGTCCCTCTGCTGGGGCAAGGAGGGCAAGGGGCTGTCCCTGCCTGGCTCTGAGCACCAGGCACATCGTCACCTTCTGCCCAGGGCAGGTAGCTGCAGTCAGCTTGACCCTGTGAGGTGGCCACGCTGGGGGCAACAGGCTGTGCGAGGGCAGGAAGGAGCTGTCAGAAGGGGCATGGCTGGGCACAGAACCTGGTCCTGTTGGTGGTGTGTCACCCTATGAAGGTGACGTTCCTTCTGATCTGTGATGATGAAGCTGTTATGCAGTGCCATCTGCCCTCGGGTGCCCTGCCGGCCAGTTTGAGAGGGTCTCAGGGAACTCTCACAGCAGCCCCCCGGAGGCTCTGTCCCCAGAAAGTGGGAAAATGGCCCCCAGTTCTGTTTGCTCCAGGCTCAGGGGCCAGGGAGCACCTGGAGCCTCAGGGCAGACACTAGGCCCAGGACAGCGAGGGGACACCAGTGTGTCCGACAGCTCACTTTCCTGCAGGGCTGAGCCAGCTCTGTCCACAGCAACTAGGATGGGGGAAATCCTAGCACCTCGGGGTCCAGCCAATGTCCTTGCTTTACTGGGACAATGGTGGGATGCGTTACTGCAGCAGGTCTGCAACGTGGAGAGCACACAGGGCAGGCCTGGTGGGAAGGGGCCACCAGAAGCCCTCCCCGTGGGCCTCTGGCTGCTGTGCTTTCTGCTTTACTGTGGTAGAAGGCGAGCGGCCTACAGCTCTCCAGCACGACTATCTTCAAGTGCACCGCGTGGCCACCACCACTGTCCCCTCCAGGACCCTTCATTCCAGACTGAAGCCCTGCCCCCCGGCACACTAACCCTCCTCCCTGCGCCCTGGGCCACTCCATGCTGCCCATGTCCCCACATCAGCAAGACGCCACCCTAGAGTCTGTACTCGTCACCAGCTGCTGGCCACCGCATCCACTGTCGGCATGAACGGGGGGTCTGGGCACCTCCAGTAGGAGGCCTCGCACGGTCCGTGTCCTTCTGTGACCGGCTTATTTCATTCACCGCGAGACCTTCGAGTTCTCCCGTGTGGCACGCGTCAGATCTTTTTTTTCTTCTTCCTGGACATGACATAGGATTTATCAGTGGATGTGATTAAGGGCACAGGGGAAGTCCTCAGGAGTGCAGGGTCCCGTGTGTCTGGGGAACCCTGACTGGGGCGTACTTGACCCTGTAGCCTTTGGGGATGAGCCACCACTCAGTCACCATGTCTTCACATTTGTCTGCATTAAACTTGGTCAAGTCCCCCTTCTTTAAGATGTGGACCTCCGGCCGCCGGGAGTGGCTCTCAGCCATGTGCTTCTTATCCTGCAACTTGACATGGGTGGGCAGGATGACTTGGCCACTGGGCCCGGGGCTGGAAGGCATCCACACCCCCGGCTGGAGCCCTCAGCCCTGTGAGGGTGGCGTCTTGCTGATGTGGGGACATGGGCAGCGTGGAGTGGCCCTGGGTGGTCTCTGCGGCAGCCTCTTACCAGGTGCCTATGTCACAGGCAGGGAGCCTCCAGGGCTGGGTGGGGAGATGCCCTGGTCACCAGACGCTGTGGGGCTGCAGAGGGGAGCTCACCCATGGTCCTCCTTCCACCCTGGGTCAAAGACGCTGCCCTCAGCAGCAGGGACATTGGGCAGCAGAGAGCCTGGTTTGTTTTTACCTACCAGTGACCCTGGGTAGACAGCAGCCCTTCAGGGTACCCTGAAGGAAAAGTGTCCTGTCTCTTCAGGGCTGAGGGCCTTCCCCAGTGTGGCTGGGCCACCTTCTGTCTCCCCTCCTCTGCTGATGGACCCGGGTGTGTCCCCTCCTGCAGGCTCTGTCAACGTGGGCAGGCAGGCATTCCCTCTCGACCCCGCCCTCGGTTCTTCCGGGGATCCACCCAGAATTAGAGGTGCTGGGCCACACAGAGGAGCCCCAGGCCCTGCTCGGCAGCGGTGCGCTTCACACCTGGCCAGCGGGGCGTGGCGTCCAGCCTCTCCACACCGCTGTGTCCCCATGGCAGCCATCCTGTGGGTGTGAGGGGGACCCGCTGCGGTTTCAGTGTTCCTTGTGACCCGTGACGCCGAGCGTCTTTGCATGTGCTCTCTGGCCATGCGTGGTCTTGTTTGAGAAGTGTCTATCTCAGTTCTAGCCCATTTTTGAGTCATGCTGTTTGACTTTTGTTGAGCTTTAGGAATCCTCTCTGTGCGTTCTGCATACGAATTCCCTATCAGACAACGATTGGCAACATTTTTTTCCATCTTTTTTTTTTTTTTTTTGGTACTGGAGATTGAACCCAGCAGCACTCTACCACTGAGCACATTCCCAGCCCTTTTTATTTATTTTGAGACAGGGACTCGCTAAGTTGCTTAGGTCCTCGATAAATTGCTGAGGCTGGTCCTGAGCTTGTGATCCTCCTGCCTCAGCCTCCTGAGCTACTGCACCTGGCTTTTCCATTCCTTGGACTGACTTTTTTCCTCTGTTGATTGTTTTTTTTTCTGCACATTAAAAAAAAAATCATGAACTCAAATTTGTGGGGTTTTTTTGTTGACTGTTGTGGGTGTCAGAGCCAAACCCAATGCCATGGAAGCTTGGTCCTCTCTCCTATAATAGT